ACTGCCCTCCTCTCTGCAGTCCAACATCTCATCACTCAAGACCACAGAGGGCACCAAATTGTTATACTTAGTGACTCATTGTCTGTTCTCCAAGCACTATCCAGCAAAAAACAAGACAAACTAATTGCAGATTTAAGGACCAACATTGGCTTACTCTCCAAGGAAGCATAACTGGTCTTGCAGTAAATACCAGCCCACTGGTATTCAAGGAAATGAGAGAGCAGATGAGTTGGCAAAAGCTGAGAGTAATCTTCCACAACCTCATCCACCACACAGCTACAAGAAAACCATGAAACCAAAACAGAGCTAAAGCAGTCTTTTAAGGGGGAGTGGAGAGCGCAGAATGGAGATTACAGACCACAGAGTGACAGCATAAACAAACTCAACAGGAAAGAACAAACATCAATTTTTAGACTTCGGACTGGACACTGTGGTCTTCGAGTACACTTGTACAGGATAGGCATAAAAGAATCTGCTGCCTGTGATTGTGGAGCAGAAAGACAGACCCCTGAGCACATACTACTGTACTGCCCTTACCTCTCGCAGCAAAGACTGGATCTGGCCCAAGGGAACCACATTGCAAGAGAAGCTATGGGAGACCAGTGGTGACCTTAAACGCACAATCCTATTTGTGACCCAGACGGGACTCAATGTTTAGCATGACTAATGTCGAACGCAGAAGAAGTTTGAAAAGACAGAAAATAGAAATTGTGTCTAATATGGTTATTGTCGCAATCATTGCCTGCACAGATATAGAGATAGTCTTGTTTGCTGTACCACGGCCTACTCTATTTTTTTAGAGAAGGCGTTGGCTGTATGTATCTCTCCGGCGAATGGTGGGTCTTGCGTTCCGACAACTGCGCATTTACGAACGTGGCTTTAATTAAATGTCACTAAAATGGAAATATTATATTCAAAGATTTTTCCAACAAATGTCGTCACCTATCTTAAACAATGACAGGTAGAATTTCAAACCATGATGGGTACAAATCCGGTATCAAAACAAACATATCCTGAAAATTTGGATTGGCTTTCTACCCCACCAGGACATCACACAAGCAATAAACACCCGATGACACAAGGTGCCACCATGCGGATGAGGATCGCCGTGGAGAAACCGCGTTCAGACAATTGGCCATATTTATGGCCTGCCTATATTGCGGCCCCTGGCAAAAGCCAGAGTGGGGCTTCAAATAACAAAAAAATTTCGTCCTAACAAGGACGAAACACGTTAATGATGCAGTAATCCTGAAAATTTCAGCTAAATCGATTCAGTAGTTTCTGAGTCTGTTGATCATAAACAAACACACAAACATAGATTTATATATATATATAGATCCTGTTGACAACATTTGTGGCTTTACTTTTAAAATTGTTAACAGTGAATTGCAAAGTAAGTGAAGAGCATGGGAAGCCATATTGTTAAATGCACACATTAAGATTAATGTAAGCAAAACATTTTGAGGTGGATCGCTCAATAGCACCCATACGTTGGTAAATAAAGCGGAGACTTTAACACCAGGGGCAGCCAGCGATGTAATGTCATCACCAATAAACATGGGAAACATCTGGTGGAGGCTCTAGTATCTGCTGAACTAGTATTTTTAAATGACGGTCAAGTCACTAGAATAACCACTAGACCGAGTGACAGTGTGATTGACTTGGCTCTAGTGTCGCCCACCATTGCCCCTGTTTGTAGATGGAGTATACTGGGGTACCATGACAGCCACCACCTGCCCTGTGCTGTCTTGGTTGAGTAGAGCGGGAAAAGCAGTCAGATAAGCAGAGAAAACTACTTTCCAGTATGATAACAAAGGACAGAATGCCATCAGCAAAGTTAGATGTTGCAAAGTAAATACCTCCCGCAGACAGAGAAAGAAATGAACTCAGCCATTGTGGTGGGATGAAGAGGTTGAAAGGGTATGGTTGGAAAAGAGACAGGCCGTCAAGGTGTGGCAGATGGCCAGGAAGAGTATCACGTCGCAATCTGAGCTTCTCAGTAACCTAAAAGATAAAGTCAATAAGACAACGATGGATTTCAAGCTATGCGCAAAGCAGGTCAAGAATGAGAAATGGGACGATTACTACTGTAAGAGGAGTGCTCTGGCCACATTTTGGCGACTTCATCAGGCGATGAATGGCACCACATGACTTCAGGGTATCCTGAAACTTTCAAAGAGCAGACCTGACAGCAGAAATCTGATACAGATAAAGGACAGGCTCTCCTTCAGCGCTACTTGGACCAGACCAATCAGAAAGATGAGGCAGCCAGACTGAGAATTAAGTCAACACTTTCAGAGTTGTGTGATAAAGCAGAGCTAAGTGACGATTTCAGTATTACAACTGAGACCATACGGACAACACTCAAGAAATCTCCCAACATCTCACCAGGCCCGGACGTCATCCAGTATTCCGATATGCTGCAGATGTCAGAGGACGATATGTCAGAACTGGCAGGAGAATTCAACGTCAGCATCAGAAGTGGTCAAATCAGAGAGGAGTGGCTACACAGCTACCTACTACCGTTACCAAAACCAAATAAAGACCATTCCAAAATCAGTGGCTACAGAATCATTACCCTGCAGAACACTACGGGCAAGCTTCTGGAGAAAATTGTAGCAAATAGACTAGCTGATGTCTTTAGGAAAAGGATGACAGGTTAGCATCCACACTTGGAGGATACAGACGAAACAAAGTGACATGGCTCAATGCAGCAGTCTTCGCCTGTGAAGTCTGAAAGTTTTCAGATGACAGAAGAGACATGTGCAGCTGCACTAGACTTAGAGGATGCGTACAACAGAGTACCATTCGAATACTTGGTGCAGATACTTATCCAACTGTAAGTATCTCCCTTCATCACTCACTGGGTAGCCACAGCACTGTTTCAGAGATGAGTGATACCCAGGTGTGGTTTTTGGTCCTCAGAACCTATAATCATCAGTCCAGGATTGCCTCAAGGTTCTCCGCTGTCTCCAGTTCTATTCAACATGTACACAGTGCTGATAACTGAGCAGCAGTTGCCCAGGAGTGGCAGGACCTTGTCATTTGCTGATGGCATCTTGGAATTTGGACATGGAAGAGATCGTCAAGAGATTGCCAACTCAATGCAGAGTGAACTTGATTGCATCTCTTCCTGGTTTGCAGATTCTAATGCTCATGTCAACCCTATGAAGGCCTCAGTAACGTGGCTCTGCTTGAACATGCATATAGTGAAGGCAGACTTACCAGCAGTGAAAAGCAGTGAGGAAATTTTGACGAGAACAAATCTGATGACATACCTCGGAGTGTGGTTTGATCGCAGCCTGTCCTTAAAAAAACATGTTGACCATGTTATAACAAAAGCATGCAAAGGCCTGCCAGCAATGAGGGTCCTGGCCGCCTCTAACACTGAGCAGAGACTGCTTCTGTTCCAGGGACTTGTACTTTCTCCCATTGAATATGCTTTAGCCATCCTTACCGTCAGCCATACTCAGATTGAAAGACTTGAGAAGGTGCAAAACAAAGCAATGCGCAGGATGCTGGGGTGACTGGAGACACCTCTTGTGTAGCAATGAGGTACCTTCCTGACTTCCCTACCATGAACTACAGGATCAAGATCTGGAGGGTTCGTGCATACCTCAAGATAAGCTCAGATCTGAAGCACACCTCTGCACCACATGCTCTTCAAGAAAAAGGGCAATAGGCTTAAAAGGGGCAAATCATGGCTGGGTAGGTCAGAGGATGACATCATGCAGGTTTGCAGCCTTACAGATATCCATCAAGGTGAGGAAAAGATGCCAGAGTCATATTCGTCCCAGGGCATGCAGGCATTGTTGGTAATGAAACAGCTGATAGACTGGCAGGTGCTAAATTAAATGAAGATGGCCAGCCCATGGATCATGCAGACATTGTCATTGCCCTTAGAGAGATAGAACGTTCTGAGGATTTTTGAAGCAACGCGTTCACATCACTGCTAAGAATACGAGAACTGGGAGTAAAGATCGGTATAGCCAAGCATGAAAAGCACACTGGACGCATTTATTTTATCAAGCCTGCAGACAAGTCTGATTGTGTCTTCAGCTTGCACCATCCAAGACCTTCCTCTTTTCAGTCTGTGACCCTTAGCTCCACCCAGGGCTTCATGCAGGAGGTGCTTCTTGTCTGCAGCTACTCTGAGATATGACTTTGCTTGCAGAACACTGAGCTTATCTGCAATGTGTTCAAGTTTTATCAGCTGACTTTTTGATATGGTAAGCATTCTAAGTTCATAATCTATCGGCAACAGGATCACATGCTGGAACATTGTGAACAGCATTCTTTGTTCCATGTCCATTGCTACCATAATCTTGAGAGCATTGAGTCCTTTTTGGCATTTCACCGCAACTGCCGCCACATGATCCCTGAAGGACAGGCTTTTATCTACTATGATACCCAGGTAGCTCACTTTGCTTTCTCGTTTGATGTTACTGTTATGAACTGTGAGGTTTGGAACGCCAGCTTTTACAATTCTATTGTCCAGAGGGCACCACAAAACAGCTGCCTTTTCTGAGTTTATGACAGCACTCATTTCTGCACACCAGTCACTTTGCCTACAGTTGCTTCTAGCTCATGGGCTATCCATTACCCTCCCTCTATGTTTTTGTTTACAAGAAACACCATTGAATTAAAAAAATAGATATATATTCTTTTATATAAAAAATATATATATATATATATATATATATATATATATATATATATATATATATATATATACATATATATATTTTTTTTTTTAATATTTTATTTTTATTTTTTTTATTGTTCTTTTTTTTAAATCAAGAAACACCCATTAATACACACCCAGTATAATAAATAAAACCCACATGCTACTATATTCTGAACAAAGCACATCCTATTTCACACACCCCAACACATTCATAACATTTTCTTTAGAACATACCCCAAGACAGACATGCTACATTCAAAACAATACACATAGCAAAACCTTAGGATCTCCAAGCAACTTCCATTTTATTCTCTCAGTCATCACTCATTAAATTATTCAAAGCAGATGAACTGTCAGGAGCTGTCAATTTTGTCCTGGAAGTTAGATTCTGCAAGTCATCACATGCTTCCACAATTGACTGCATGACTTTAGCTCTTTGCTCTGTGAACATTTGGAGTTTAAGGGGGAAAAAAGGGTAATTATTAACTCATACTCTTAAGTAATATATAAGAATCCTGGAAAATAAAAAAATGTGCACACTTTAACATTTGTAATTTAGAGATTTTCTTTAAAGTTGGATTTCGTTATGGTAGCAGCAGCAGTTGTAGCAGTAGGCAACCATCGCCAACTGCGACAGTCTATCTCTTACTGTCTGCCTCCACAGGAGTGTCTGTGTTAATGTTGGTACCCCGCAGGTTGCATTTACATATGTCTGTAGCTGATCTTTCCCAAGTGTATGTGGTAATGTTGGTATCCTGCAGGTTGCATTTACATATGTCTGTAGCTGATCTTTCCCAAGTGTATGTGGTATGTTGGTATCCTGCAGGTTGCATGTACATTTGTTCTTATAGCACAGCCTTAGTCTTTTCCTTCTCTCCCATCCACCACACAGGAGATCCTTTCAGTGTAGAGTATGATGTTCTCTCAAAGACTTTTGTTACTAACATGTTACACAAATATTTCTTCTTTCTCTTGTGCCAATATGTGCTGTGTCTCTAGGTGTCATAGTTTAACAGGTAGGTAGCTAATCCAGGGCATGCTCAGTTGCTTGGTATGCTGTGACGTGAAGCTTTAGTCAACCTTTGACTCCTTTAACCCTTTTGCCCTGAGAAGCCGCAAAACCGACACTTTTATTTGGGCCAAATTTCCTGTAAATGTCACTCTTGTACAATGCATTGGAAAAGTGCACAAACGATCCTTACATCTCCCCCAACACCTCGTTGAGGTTAATGGTGGAAGAGAAGATAAAGTGGAAGAAGATCCAGAAAAACAGAAAGGTCCCAACAAACTAGAACAATCAAAACTATTAGAACGGGCTGGTAAAATAAACTGTGAGCCGTCAGTGACATATAAATGGCATAGGGGATTATGATGATGATAATGAATGTAAACTATGAGTGAACGTAAGCTAAATGCAGAAATGAAAGATACAGAAACATAATGAGAGAATGGCAACACAAATTAGAAAGCATAAGCTCCTGTGTGGATTCTAGGACTCCATTCTGGAGAGCAAAGAACAGACCCACTGTCCCCAAACAAGCATGTCGTAGGAAGCTATTAATTAGGGGTAGTTTCCTTGAAGTTGGAGTGCATATGCCTAAGAGGCAAGGAAACAGCAGTCTAATACAAATAAGCCAGATCTGATGTGCATGCAAAACTCAAGTTCTGGGTTAAGACTAAAGTCCAACGAACAACCAGTGAACGCTAGGAAGAAGAAAAATAAGAGAAAGCTAAAGACAAAACACAAAATAGTAACTGGAATAACACAAAGACTATTGAAAACAAATATAAAAACTAAATAGCTACCTTCTGTTTCACAACCAGAATATAACAGGGGCAAGTTCTTTTTGTGGTAACTGATCAAAAACTTCTGGCATGCCCTGATTGAACCTAAAATATAATAAATACAAACTAACAATCATCTACAATGTAAAAAAAACATAAACTAGCAGTAACATGTAATGTAAAACACATAAATTAGCATCCATCTACAATGTAAAAACTATAACTAACTTTAACACTGTCGACTCCAGAAAGCCATTTTTCTGACATGTATTGTTTTTGCTGAAATGAAGTCTCTGAGTGGTGGTTATCAGGGGTATGACAAAACATACTTAAATAAATTGAGATATTATTTTGGGCGGGGAAAAAATGACACCTGAAAATTGTGACACCATAATAATCTTAGTAATCTTATAATTCAACATAAGTCAACAAAACCATGTAAATTATGGTAAAAGGGAAGAACAGCGGTTAATTCTCTGCTCTGTATTTGTGAACTGATACATGACAAGGCAGATGTGGTCAAGGCCCTTTGGGAACAAGCAACAGAATCAGTTGAGAAACAAGATTATTATGGCCTGGAGAGAATGCGGAATCTGCGGGTAACCAGGGGGTCTGGCCAGCTCACTACACTCAGAGAAAAGGCAAGATGGACAAATAACCAGATTGTGACCGGTAACATCAGTATTGGAACTCTGCACTGGCTGCCGAAGATGAGGACGGAGCACACATGGTAATGCCCAGAGGGCTGTGATGTCATTCTTGATTCAACTCGACGCAACAACTCAACTCAGCTTAACTCAACTCTGCTCTGTTTGTGTTTAGTTTCTTCTTCTTCTTAACATTCAATGTCTGTAAACTTCGGCCACTTATGGTCCACTTTGGTATTTTAGTCTTGTTCCAGAACTTGAATATCACATGCACATCCAAATTACAGATCTACTTATCTGTATGCAGACTGTTGGTTCCTCACCTCTCAGGCAGTTGCGCTCTGACTTCAGATGAAAAAATCACTAATTATCTACTTTCCCAGCATGCCTGATAGGGAGGCAGATGGGAGCCTTAGAACTCACACTGGGAAGACTTATCGATGACTGGTTGGATTTTGCAGCTAAATAATGTTATGAAAGGATAGGGTAATTAGTCTCACAAACTGGTTACTTTTCACGACATTCATCAAAGATGGCAGCCTTGGCTAGAACATGGAACCTATGGCCACAACAGTAACAGTACTGTGACATTTTATTCATTCATTGTCGTGTTGTGCCATTACTTGTCATATGGTGCTCACAGTCTGTTAAGTGCAAGCCCTTTGATATCATGAATGGAACCAAATCCAGCACCTTAGCAACGTTCACCTTTTTTTTTTTTGGGGAGGTCCTCATTTCTTCAATCCCTATATTTCCCTTGGCACAAAGAAACCAGACCACAATTATAACTGATACTGCTCGCAGTAGGTTGAACATGGTAAATGTGTTTGTTTTGTTTGTCATAAATGGATGGAGGGATGGAATGCTGGTTTGGTGATTCTCTGTTTCTGTGACACAAGTCAATTATAATAGGTTGCCCTGTGAGGGTTTCAGGGGATCCCTAAGGGGGTGGGGGAGGTGGAGCCGGGGGGAAATCGAAAAAAACCAACATCCCAGCACTGCTAGTAAATATTATTACAGCTGTTATAATGGGTTAAACGATAATATACTTCTCCAAAGGATATCCTCCATGGCAAATTACAGATGGGCAGAATTCCTTCGAAGTCAGAGTGCATCTGCCTGAGAGGCAGGGAACCAGCAGTCTGCATACAAATAAGTCAGATCTGTAAAACGGATGCACATGCAACACTCAGGTTTTGGAACAGGACTGCAGTCCAGAAGTGGACGAACAACCAGAACTTTCTGCCAGAGTTTACAGCCGGTGAATGCGAAGAAGAAGAAGATGTTGAGGTCAGCCTCTACTATGATATAAAGATGTGTGCAAGCAGGACACGAATGATACAGGTACTGAGGAGGAGTGGTGGGAACGGGACGCCATGGACCAGCTGCATGAAGAAAATAATCAGAAAGGGAATGGGCATAAAGGAGAAAATGTTTGCAGATAGTTTAACAGCTGAACTTTTAGAAGAAGCATGTGAAATATACGCTATGGCTTTATTATCACGATCATGTAGCAGGTCCTTTGCAGAATGTCACATTCATCATGATCTGCCGGAAAGAAACTCGTTCTTTTACCAGCTCCCCCACCTCGAGCACTTTCATACCCAAGGAGTCACTTATGTCCAGTGCCCATCTTCATGCACGTTAGCCCCACCCCTCCTTTCTTGTACCATTCCTTCTGGTGTTATTTTTGTGCAATTCCCCGTGGGGCTTAATATGGCTAAAACATTTCATCTTCAACAACGGTCCTAAAATCCCATGCTCTAATGTGGCAAAACTTTTCTTAACATGACCAGGTCTTGCAAGTATTACTTGCCATTGCCATGGGTTGTAATTTTCAAAGTAAAGTAAAAGTAAAGATCTCTTTAGGCGCATTAGGCATATGGGAAGAGCAACCATATTTTTACAGATCAATCAGCACTAGGTGGGTAATGTGGTCAGCATTACGGCGGCCGTCTTTACTGCCCCTGGTACCCATTTTAGGCTGGGTCGACCTGCGACACCTCATACCATGATAAAAATCCCTGCAGCTAGCAGTGGGTTTCTATCGCGGTACGTTGGAATTACGAGTAGGACCCGCAATGCCTAAGCCGTGGACACTGCACTTGTAATTTTCAGGTTTCCTATAAAGGGACAATTTTCACACTGGTGGTGTAATGGTAGTTTAATGCTAGACTTAATCAGCACACAAATCTGACTCGATACAGACTCAAACCCACACCTTCATGCAGCTTTTAGCTGCGACACACCAATGTGACTGACTCCTATGCCATATTATTGCATAATAAAACAATATGGTCAAGAAAAAAGGAAAGATGCCAGTGAAAGTACTATATACTTCTTTTTTTTTCTTTATTTCCACTTTTACCACTACAGGTGTTGAGGGAGATATAAGGTCCTGGTTAGTGCTCTTCTGGCTGCTTCAACCATAGACACATCATGGTGCTGTAGAGTTTCTCTGATGTTATCTTTCCATATTGTTCTTCGTCTACCTCTTGCTCTACGTCCCTCTCCTCTTTTGGTATATGCCTTGTAAGGTATAGCATCAGAAGGCATTCTCTCTAAGTGGGCAAACTATTTGATTTTATGTCTTTGTATGTAATTTATGTGTATGTATTTAACTGTGGTCTGTTCTTGAGAACTACGGGGTACAAGAACAGTTACTAGAGAATATCATAGCCATGTCAAAGTGCAGTAAAAACACAAGAAGGTATATCAGATATGTTCACAGTCAACACAGGTGTGAGACAAGGATGTGTGCTCTCCCCACTTTTATTTAACATCTATATAGACAGAATATCTAAAGAAGCAAGTTATGATACAGACAACATAGACCTTTATAATCTTGAGGAAGTACACACATCAGAAGAAGTAATCGATTCACCAACATTAAACGAACTACTATTTGCTGACGACCAGTGCTTATTCTACCCTGAAGAACATAGACTGCAAGACCACATTAACAGGTTAAACTCAACATGCAGTAAACACAACATGAAGATCGATGTAAACAAAACCGAAACAATGCAAGTTAGTAGAGCCCCTGCCCCACTACACATGCAGCTGAATGGTTCTGCCCTGAATCAAGTTAGGGAGTTTAAATATCTAGGAAGTATGATCACAGAAGATGGTAGAATTGACAGAGAAATAGAAACCAGATGTCAGAAAGCAAGTGCACTTATATACCAATTGTCACCATTATTAAGACATCCAAGCATAACTATGAGTGCAAAGAGACAGATTATTAATAGCATATTCATTCCAACATTAAGCTACCAGTGCCAAACATGGACCCTATCTAAAGCCTATTTATGCAAAATTTTCATGCAGTCACAACAAAAAACAATTCTGCTGTTTTCATTTTTTCTTTCCTCAAGCACTTTGGCTGAATCAATAATTGCTTGCTGCTCTGCTCTGAAGTTTGTTTTAGAGTTTTCCAAATGCGCACAAAGTTTCTACTGTGGTCCCATCTTGCAGCATAATGACCGATCCTACTCCGGTTTTTTTCAGCTTCCTCAAATGACCCATCGGTGTATACGTGTGTCCATATGAGTTTTTTTATAACAGTTGAAGACATGCTCAAGGTTCTTTGCATGCAGTACTAGGTTAGAATCACATTAGAATGCAGCAAGATCAAATACCATCACAAGCACTACATCTCAGAAGATCAGCTACAAGAGCAAGAGGACGGCTGCGGAAAACATGGATCAACAACATTAAAGACACTCTACGCCTTCACGGCTTGATAATAGCCAGTGGCAGCCAACATGCACTGGATCGCAAATTTTTCCTCCCCACGACGCTTAACGGCAGATGTGGTTTATGATGATGATGATGTATGTAATTTAGAATTGGTTCTGCACTGACTTGATCTTGTATGACCTCATTCCTGATTTTATCTTTTCTGGTCACTCCTAGTATTTTTCAGACACTTCATTTCCATGGTTAATAATTTTCTTGTATATACTTCTACTGGAGAAAAATCAGCAACTTGCACTAACCTCCAACATGAAGTGTTTTCATGATAATGTTGTGACTGGCCACTTTCTTGATAAAAACCACTGATGATGCTACAATGTTCAAGTGTTTCCTCTCAACCCGGATAATGATGATGTTCGTTTTGATGTTTAAATATTTCACTGAAAGCAAGGAAGAGCATCATTACAGCATTTCTTTCTTTGTCTGAGCATAAAAGTCATCGCTAGTCATTTAATATCCTTGGAAGTATAATAAAGGCAAAGGACTGGTCTCCGCGCCTTCAGACCTTTGGGCACATAGGGCTAAATCTATATTTTATACACCAATCAGCAATTGATGGGGGATGTGGTCAGCATCATAACGGCCAACTTTACTTCTCAGGATTTGTACCTGGTACCCACTCAAGGCTGGGTGGACCTGGAAGCCCCCAAAAAAAAGTCTGGCTCCGTGAGGACCCGAACCCAGGACCTTCAGAATTTCTCGAGGAAATATAAGCAGTCGATATAATGTTGACCATATCCCAAATCAAGCGGTCTAAAAATCTGGGTTTAGTACCGTATTCATGATACTGGAGTGAAAGAGTGTTTATCGGTTTTGTTTTAAAACTTTCTTTACTTTGAGCTAAAAGGATCCTGAAACACAGACCATGGATGAATATGATAAGTTTAGAGGAGCATTCTTCTTCTTTGTTCACCGGCTGTAAGCTCTGGTGGAAACTCCTGGTTGTTCATCTATTTGGACTTTGGCTTTATGCCAGGGCCTAAGTTCTGCATGCACATCAGTTTTACTGGTTTATTTGTGTGCAGTTGGTTGTTCCTTGCTGCTGGGGTAGACGCACTCCGACTTCAAAGGAAGCTCCTAATTAGTCCACTTCTACGACATGCTTGTTGGGGAGGCAGTGGGTCTATTCTTGTTTTCCCCACAATGACGTCCCAAACCCACATGGGGAGAAGCTTTCAAACTGTGACATTCAAAACAATCAAAAGAACTAACCAGTTTAACACACTGAAAGACAAACAAGCTTTATAATTTAAAATATTTTTTTTTTAAACTTTCTTTTGGACTCTTTTACCTCAGGAAACAGAAATTTTTTTGTTAATGCCAATGACCAGTATTTAATAAATTCATGTAGAAATGGTTACGAAAATCACACAGCTAATCTGATACCGGTCACACGCTCAGAGAATTAACTGTTCATTTTATGGACCAAAATAATATTAATTTCTCAACAGAACAAGAGGAGTTATCATTAATCACAAATGCAACAGAGAATTAACTGACTGACCTTTAAATGATTATTAAAAAAGAATTATACGTAAACTCATATGTGACCTATTAACCCATCTATCTGCCTGGTAACACTAGTGGTATTGGGGAACTATGTCTTAATTTCTATCAAAATAGCCATTTGTTCCCAAGGGACCCCCCCCCCCCCTCCTCCCCCCGCCCCACAAATCTATTTTTTTCCTATTAGCTATGCTTCTCAAGAACAAGCCACTCTAGCCAAATCAGTCAAGTAAAATTTACAGGAGACTGGACACAACAGAAAGTGTTGATTTTGCGGCATCTCTGGGCAACAGGGTCAAAACTTTCAATGCCACACAGAATGGACAAAAAGAAGAAAAAGATGATGATGGTCGGACAAGACTCTCAATGCCACACAGAATGGACAAAAAGAAGATGATGGTCAGACAAGACTCTCAATGCCACATAGAATGGACAAAAAGAAGATGATGGTCAGACAAGACTCTCAATACCATACAGAATGGACAAAAAAGAAGATGATGGTTAGACAAGACTCTGCCACACAGAATGGACAAAAAGAAGATGATGGTCAGACAAGACTCTCAATACCATACAGAATGGACAAAAAAGAAGATGATGGTCAGACAAGACTCTCAATGCCACCTAGAATGGACAAAAAGAAGATGATGGTTAGACAAGACTCTCAATGCCACACAGAATGGACAAAAAGAAGATGATGGTTAGACAAGACTCTGCCACACAGAATGGACAAAAAAGAAGATGATGGTTAGACAAGACTCTGCCACATAGAATGGACAAAAATAAGATGATGGTCAGACAAGACTCTCAATGCCACATAGAATGGACAAAAATAAGATGATGGTCAGACAAGACTCTCAATGCCACACAGAATGGACAAAAAGAAGATGATGGTCAGACAAGACTCTCAATGCCACATAGAATGGACAAAAATAAGATGATGGTCAGACAAGACTCTCAATGCCACACAGAATGGACAAAAAAGAAGATAATGGTCAGACAAGACTCTCAATGAAACACAGAATGGACAAAAAAGAAGATGATGGTCAGACAAGACTCTGCCACATAGAATGGACAAAAAGAAGATGATGGTCAGACAAGACTCTCAATGCCACCTAGAATGGACAAAAAGAAGATGATGGTCAGACAAGACTCTCAATGCCACATAAAATGGACAAAAAGAAGATGATGGTCAGACAAGGCTCTCAATACCATACAGAATGGACAAAAAGAAGATGATAGTTAGACAAGACTCTCAATGCCACATAGAATGGACAAAAAAGAAGAAACGGACGATAATGGTTGGACAGGACTCTCAATGCCACACAGAAAGGACAAAAAAAAAAGAAGAAACGGACGATAATGGTGGTCAGACAAGACTCTCAATGCCACACAGAGACAAGAAAAAGATTATAGTCAGACAAGATTCTCAATGCCACACAGCATGGGCAATAACAAGAAAAAAGATGACAATGTGTCATAACTGGAATTAAGGAGAGAGAAAGAAGACATACATCTACAAAAGAGAATTATCAAAAAGTTACACGATCAACATCTAGGCTGAAATATGTGATGATGATGATCACACAGAAAAATAATGTATATTTTTCGTATCAATGCCTCATTTTGATCAATAAGCCAAATATGAAAGATAACAGTGTCATAAAAACATTGAGATTGGACAAAAGGCAGTTTCAAATTACATACATTTTAGAGTTAGAATATCTTTTTCTTTATTTTCGCGTTCACTGGCTGTAAACTCCGGCAGAAAATTATGGTCGTTTGCCCATTTCTGGGCTTTAGTCCTATTCTAGAACCTGAGCTCTGCATGCATATCCATTTTACAGATCTGGCTTATTTGTATGCAGACTGTTGGTTTCTTGCCCTTCTGGAAAATGCACTCAAACTATGAAGGAATTCTCTAATTTGTCAACTCTTGTGACAAGCCTGTTAGGAAGGCAGCCGGTCTAGTTATTTTCTTCCCCACAGTGGGGTACCAGAACCCACGCAGGGAGAGTTACAATATTAGTCTCCAAGCTGAATCCTGAGTACTTTCAACTTTTCCCTCCATATTAACTGAAGGCTACATCATCATGCAGCAGGTCTTTTGCAGAATGTCGCTCTTATCACGGTCTGTCTGAAAGAAATTTGGTCTCTTGCCAGCTGTCTCACCTCATGTACTTTCTACTCAACGAGTCACTTATATCATATGCCCATCTTCGTGTTGGTTGGCCCTTGCGCCTTTTTTCTGGTACCATGCCCTCTGCTATTATTTTTTTTCCAATCCGCTGTGGTGCTCGATATGCCCAAAATATTCCACCTTCTGAGACAAGATGCTGTTTATTAGCTAATCTTTCTTGATGTTCAAATCTTTTAAAATGTCAGTGTTTCTTTGCTTCTTTGTCCATGGTATTCTGAGAATCTTTCTATAGCATTTCACCTCAAAAGCCCCGATTTTGTTTCTTATGGACTGGGAGACAGTTCACGACTCACATCCGTATGTTGCTGCAGGAAAGATTCATGATCTCAAAATTTTACTTTTGATTTCCTTGCTGCTGCTTAACTATAGACTTGTTACGCTGTTTAACCATATAAACTACATACCAGATAGTGAAAACTGTACAGCTCCAAGACCATAGTCTCCATGAGCATCAAGTATGGCGTCTCTAACAGCAAAATACACAGACTTTGTGTCAATACGTGGAATTTCCTTCTTCTTGTCTGGGAAAACTACTTCACATAATATATATCTGAAATTAAAAAAAAAAAAATTGAAGTTAACTGTCTTAAAAATGCACAAACAAAGAGTAAACCACAAGAGTTAAAGCAAGGCCGACAGGATTAACCTCATTGCACTGAGTTTTATCCCATATGGCACATTCTCTCTCTGCAGGATGACTAGCTGTCAGCCGATAATGTCGAACGTCCTCAAAGTGCGAGGAGAATGGCTTGACCAGTTCGCCACAGAGACACATAGACGGCCAGTGAAACCACAAGAGAGCACAAAATAAATCAAGCGAAATGTGGACAGCGAGTGAAGACTGTATGATATTATCATTATTATCATATAGTCCCATGGAAAGTGAGTGAAGTCAAGTGTATGATATTATTATCAAAGTCCCACCGGGGATTTCAGGGTGTGGAATATATAAAACTTCACTAGCATCCATAAATAATTATAATGAGTTGAGTTAAACTGATTCAAGAACCGACACTCAGGCCATTCCCATAAGCGCTCCGTCCTCTTCTTCAACAGCCAGTGAAGAGTTTCTATACTAATGGTGCCAGTAGCATTCTTATTAAATGTCCGTCTTGCCTTTCTTCTAAGCCTCGAGCATCTGCCAGAACATCTTGTCACTCCCCCATGCATCAATCTCACCAGACTGTGGTGATTCATCTGCTCCGCCGAACTGTACACGCTCTCCCACAAGGCACTAACACGTCTGCTCTATCATGCATCAGTATTCCGCCAAGTTGTGCAAGAGCCAGCCAGTCTGTCCACCTGTTCATTTCCCAACACACTAGCGTATCTCAGTGAAAACATCTAGACAATACTCTTCACCCGTGTCTTCCGCAGCTAAGCATGCTACTCTGCACGAAGCATGCCTGTCCTGACCTTCCTCAGCATGCTTTCTGAGTCAGTTACAATCGCATACACACCACTGGTGTGTCTCTGGTGCAATCGAGAATGACCCGCATCGCTGCGTTCTGTATGCGCTCTAGTTTGTCCATCTGACTTTTTGAGACGGTAAGCAGCCCCAGTGGCATTCAACCACTGACAGGATCAGGTGCTGATATAGTGTGAAAAGCATTCTCATATTTATAATAAATACTTTTTTTTAAAAAACAGTGTTAGTACAACTATTCTACTTCTCAGCTGGACTGTATTAAAACAAAACTGAAGAAAAATATGTTGTTACCTGTTCTTGAATCTAACCATGATTAGGGAATATGTGACCACAATGTTTACACTTTGATGTATTTTCTGAGTTATCTCAATTCGTACTTCCAATTTAAAAATAGGAGCAGGAAATCTATCGAAAAAGTGGTTCTGGTAACGTTTTCAGCCCCAAACGTCAGAAGGAGGCGGTCTTGCCTTGACTGACCGTTCATTCATTATTCGTGACCTTTCAAGCGCGCTAGTCATACACAAATATGGAAAGCATAATCAATTTTGACGGTATAACATCGGAGGAGTTTGTAATCAACAATGGATTGAATTATGAATGTATACTTGTCCCTACCCTCTTTGAAATATACTTCTCACGCTTTATGAAATATGCATCAGGAGGGTGGTATATACATCCATTCTCGATCTGACGTCAGACTCTACAATACGCGTACGATGAAAGCCAAAACCAGGATTATAAAGATACTTATCAGCTACTGTTTGCAGATGACGCTGCAACTGCCACCCACTCAGAGAAGAAACCGCAATGTTTACTATCTGCATTTGCTCTTGCTTGCTGTGAATTTGGACCAATAATTAACAAAAAGAAGACACCGATTATGGTGCAAAGTGTTAATGATAGATCCGCAGTGTACATTGATAGTGATGAGCTGGAGAAAGTTGACCCTTTTACATATAGGGAACCCACAGTGAATAACAAACTATGATTGGACCAAGAGTTCAACATTAGGATAGGTAGGTCGGTAACAACATTGTAAAGATTAACAAAAATAGTCTGCATACAAATAAGCTTCTCTGTAAAACGGAAATGCATGCAAAAGCCAAGTATGAATCAAGATCATAGTCAAGGAGTGGACGAATAACCAAAACTTTACACTTAGTAAACGCTATGAAGAAGAATACTTATTCGCACCGGGGAACACGGCCAAATAGCTTTCATATGCGATAACTTAGAAGAATTCTTGGCATAAGTGCAAGGACAAGATCACAAACACCGAGGTCCTGGATAGAGCAGGTATCACAACTAGTGCTGTACAGAATATTCGCTTTGTATTCGCTTCGGGGCCCTATAGTGGACCAAATAACTATTCGGTATTCGGTCGAATAGTTGTCGTCGGGCCGAATACGAATAGTGGTTACCTTACACTCATTTCTGCATACACTGCGATGGACTGAAATAACTAACTCATTAACACAATAGTTGCTGTTGCCTAAGTGTGTAGTAGCGGGGAAACTGCGACCCGGTTGCGTGGTACAGCAGCTAGCAAAGTCTTGCCTGCTGACTCGACCGAGGCATCACAGCAAAGGTTCTCAGACTGGGTGCGTCAGGGGTGACGCGGCGAAAATCAAGAAAAGTCGGCTATAAATTGTGACATTATTAAAGAAGGCATAAAGATACTTGAAAGTTAAAATTTAAATCGTCTTTCCTCGCCACTGTCGAAAAGAGGACAGGCAACAGGCAATAACTGCATTTTATAAAATGAAGAACATCTTATGCAATATAAACTTGCCAGTGAAGGTTAGAAAAAGAATTCTTGCTTGCTACACACATCCAGTTTTGCTTAAAATACCTTGAACAGCCACACACACACACACACACACACACACACACACACACACACAGACACACACACAAAGCAACCAAGAGGTTTTGACAGAGGAGGGAGCCCGAAGATAACTAATCACAGACATCAGAAGGAGACAGTCATCATTTTCCGACTATGTTATGAGAAGAGGGAAAATGAAACATGTAGTGACCACGGAAAAGATCTGTGGAAGGAGGGGTAGAGGAAGACAACGAGAGAAGATTATTGACAGTCTTGTTCCATGGCACAGAGGTGTGTTAGCACACGAACTAATACATGCTGCAGGAGATCGCAGATTGTGGCGAGGTATAATCACCCACGTTAGTCGGCAAAGGCACCTGATGATGATGATACACTATTCGTGTTCGTATTCGGTCGAATTATTGGTCCCACTATTCGTATTCGGTCGAATAGTGAAAATCCCTATTCGGTACAGCCCTAATCACAACAGTTTTCTTAATGTTTAATCCCCGCATGCTCAGGTGGCTGGATCACACCTGGAGAATGGAGGTTGGCAGAGTCCCTGGGGATATCATCGATGTTGAACTGAGGATAGTTAGAAGATGTCGAGACAGGCCTCTACTACGATGTAAATATATATGCAAGCGGGACATAAATGATACATCTATAGAGGTACATTTATGGGAACAAAATGTCGGAAGACGAAAGAAACATAGTCACGACAGGAATTACGTTTTTACTTACTATGCTAGGTGTAGCAAGGACAGATCGGCTTAGAAACGTTAATATGAAGAGGAGAGTCGGCTCTGAACTAATACTGAACTTTATCGGTAGACAACAGAGTAAATAGTTTGGCCATGTAACACGACTGGTAACAGGCATTGCATCACAGAGAGCAACATTATACAGAACAACGGCGACTGAATCAGAGACAGACCACGCAGAATATGGACCTTGTAAATACAGGAAACACTTAAAAGTATTACATACGAAGCGAACAGTTGGGCCCGTTTCAGTGATTTCTTCCTATCCTGACCCTGCGAGGCTTTACAGGAGTAGAGAGAAGAAGAAAAAAATACTTTGGACCGTGTTGAGTGGAGGGGTGGGGGTGGGGGATTAGGAAGAGAATGGGAATAACCGGGGGAAGGGGAAATTGACTGCAGGAAGGCTGAGAGTTGAGCGGTTGAGAAGTGCACTAATTACATGTGATGGCAACGATCCTAAAATCGCACAGTGGAACACACTCGCCATCGCTATAGACCCCAAAGAATAACAGTAGTAACAATAGTTAGGAAAGACGGAAGGGTGTCCGCAAAAACAGTAAAGAGGTGGTGTCGGTGATAGTCGTAGTTATGTTGGTGGTATAAATAAAGCGGATCATCAAAAGCAGACAAGGCGGTTTGTCATCATCTGCGCCTCCTGCCATGGCACATCATGATGAAACCTCTCCCATCTCCTAGCTCGATTACTCATGCCTTAGTAAGTTTAGACAACTCTACTGGTCACAGACTTCTGCGGTTTGTTTGTGTAGAAGATCAACCGCAGCAATGACTATTTGACGTTTCTGTCGTATTTGCTATTTGAAGCAGTTGTGAACAGCCAGCCTTGTAAATTATAGAACAGATGTAAACGGAATAAGCTTCATTCTCGTTTTGTATTCAAAATAAATCATCATTTGTTCGTGTAGTCGGTAGTCTATGCTACTCAAGTTGAGTAACTCAACTGAGTACGTTAACAACTGTAGTACTAGACTGTAGTAGTACGTACTCAGTACTAGTAGACACTAAGTCAGTATTCCTGTATGTAACTGTGTATTGGTTTCTTTAGAAGAAAGAAACTAAGCCGAAATGGGGGTTCTACGATGTTCAGTACTGTTATGTTATATCAGTAATTAATTATCAGTCATGAAGAACTAATTGCATAAACACCAGCGTGTACACTTTGCTGACAAATTGGAGTGGTGTTAAGTAGTAAAGTTGTACAAGTTGAGTGAATTATTTGAATCAGGCAGACATGTTTAGTAAGGTGGAGTCTGATAAAAGTAAATTTCTGGAGCAAGCAAAAGTGGCCAGAGAGGAAAGAGCACAAGATCGTCATCGTGAAGATGCAGCAATTCACATTCAGGTTTGTTCAGTTCATCTGCAGTAGTCATAAAAGTGTTTATGTTTAATCAACGGATCAACATCATGGCATACGGGTGTAACCCTTTAGCGCTCCATTCCTCTTCTAACTCAAGCCTGAGTCTGAAGAATTTAAGCTCAGTGCACAAAGTCTGTTGCACTGGCAAGGATCCTAAAATACTTTGGATGGATTTTAAACTCAATTTTTTTTGCCCGGGCAGCACCGTTAGACTACTCTTTTTGATTTCCAACTGCCAAGGGATTTTTTTTACATATGTAAGAATACACACGGGTGTCTGGTCTTACTAGAAGTCCATGTGAAAAAATCCCAGCCCTCACCAGTGCTTAAACCCGGGTCCTCTAGCACTCGAGGCGGACACCATGCCTTGAGACCACGCAGAAATGAAAGTGTAATATGTTTATGTATTTTTATCAGTGTCATGTTCAACATGGCTGGATTGTGTTTAGGATATATAGTGTTTAATGTAACATTTATATAATGTGTTTTATTAGCCATATTATACACAATTTTGTAAGTGTTATGAGAAAACTGGAACATGTTATAAGCACTGGAAAGAGAGACAGAGGAAAATAATATAAGATTCTTGACAGCCTTTTGTGGGGGTGGGGTGGGGGGAGGGGTGTCAGCACACAGACTGATACACACAGTTGCAAATTGTGAAGAGGCAGCATCACCCACGCTAGTCAGCAAGGCACTTAATGATGATGATGATGATTATACTCAATGTTCGTGATGACGGTAGTGTAATGGAATTGTACTTCTTGCTGCTCAGATGGTTCAGGATTAGATGTCCCTTTTATATTAAGTGATTGCCCGGCTCTCTAGTGAAGTTGGTTAAACCTGACTTTCGCGGCGGCCGGGGGACGAACTCCTTGTGGTCCGGGTTCACTCCCGGGGGTAGGCAGAAAAGCCACATTTCTCCCAGAATAACGGTACCTATAATGGAATCAATGCCGAAAGGTTGCGATATCCATAGTACCGAGCCAAAGGGTTTACAACTCATGGTTTCTGGATACGTTAAAAAAAAAAAAAAAAAAAGAAATATTAAGTGATTAGCTAGTTCTGGGATCAACTTAGCCTCATAAAATTGCTGGGGAGTTAATGCAACTATTATATTCCTACATCACCCTTTGATTGTCGATTGTCTAATTATAAAAATTCGGATTTAGCATCATGTTCCCAGTGTGCCACAAATGATCAAGTGATTTCAGTCAACCAGGTCCTGTGTTTATGATAAAGTCTAGCTGCAGTCAGGCTTCCTGAATCACTATCAAACTCGAATTGTATTTACCAATATAAATACACCTGTAATGCTGCATATGTGGGCACAACTGACCGACAGCTGGAGAAGCGGGTCGCTGAGCATATTGCCACTGTGTGCGGTAAAAGCCATGCAAAACACTAACAAAACAATAACAGCTGAACAACAACGAATCAGGTGACTGGTGGAAACAAATCCCTCCATCAGCTATTGTGTGTCATATTCCTTGTTCTATGCACATTGTAAACAAGGGAGAGGCATTTTGATTATTTACACTTCAGCCAGCGGGAGATAATTGTGATTTTTAGAAGCACTATAAAACGGTTTAGTCTAGAATTATGCAGACAAAAGGACATGCTCTTCACTTTATGTTTACGTGGTGAAACAAACAGTTTTTGAATGTGGTCAATTTTGTGTTTCAGCTCAAAAAGTTCATTTATTTGCTTCATGTTAATCATTTGTTGCTGTAGTACGCACCTGATGAGATACAGCAAAATTTGCCAGGCAGTTAATTGTGCAATCTGTTGTTTGTGTCCTTGTTGTTTTAGTCATTAGTTTGCCATTGCTTTCTGAGGGATCGGCTCTCACTACCACTATTGAAACAATGCAGTGGGGTCTGCTGCCAAATCACCCACAACTGGGATCGAACCTAGCATCACAGAACTACAAAGCTCATTCACAACGCCTAAGCCACAGACGTCGACTTTCTTTACATGTAGCCAAGTCAAATAGGGATGTAACTTATAAGCAAATTAACTTTTATAGTGTTCGTTAGCAGTTGGGGTTGCTGTGATACAGTGGCTAGAAACTCACCTCTGGCCCGCAGGTCTTGGTTCAGATCTTCATCCATTCAGATTCTGTTTGAAAAGACCTTGTTTCCCAAGTTGAGACAGGCTAAAATGGATACCAGTAAAACCCCGGGAAGAAAAGGCACAGGGGCTGATTGGTCTACAAAAATGTGAGTCTAGCATCATATGCTTAGTGTATCACTGGCGTGAAAAGTATCCTTTACTTTTCTTTACTATACCTTTTAGTATAATGTTTCAGTATAATGTTTCAGTATAGTGTTTCAGTATAATGTTTCAGTATAGTGTTTCAGTATAATGTTTCAGTATAGTGTTTCAGTATAGTGTTTCAGTATAGTGTTTCAGTATAGTGTTTCAGTATAGTGTTTCAGTATAGTGTTTCAGTATAATGTTTCAGTATAGTGTTTCAGTATAGTGTTTCAGTATAATGTTTCAGTATAGTGTTTCAGTATAGTGTTTCAGTATAGTGTTTCAGTATAGTGTTTCAGTATAATGTTTCAGTATAGTGTTTCAGTATAATGTTTCAGTATAGTGTTTCAGTATAATGTTTCAGTATAGTGTTTCAATGTTATGTTTCAGTATAATGTTTCAGTATAGTGTTTCAGTATAATGTTTCAGTATAGTGTTTCAGTATAATGTTTCAGTATAGTGTTTCAATGTAATGTTTCAGTATAGTGTTTCAATGTAATGTTTCAGTATAGCGTTTCAATGTAATGTTTCAGTATAGTGTTTCAATGTAATGTTTCAGTATAGCGTTTCAGGTTAGCTACGTATCCTTTACATTACGTTGCAGAACCAACCCCAACAGCCCCTGGCTGTTGTGTGGTTTTTCTAGGCAAATTTACGTCCAGTAGTTTGCCATTGCTTTCTGGACAGTCAGCTTTCTTGATACCATTGTCGAAACCAATGCAAGGCGCATGGCCCGCAGCTGGGATTGAACCCGGCATCCCGGCATTATGAAGCGTTCGCATCGACTTAGCCACAGGGCCGACTTCATTATAGTATGTCACTATAATTTTCAGTATGGTGTTTCAGTATAATTTTTCAATATAATGTTTCAGTATAATTTGATTTCAGCTTATCAGTTATTTTGAGTCTGTGAAGAACAAATGGAGTTATTTGTATAGTAATGAACTGAAAATGTTGTGCTATTATATTATTATATATCCTTAGAAGCTGTTGTGCATTTTACATTCAGCAAATATGATTTTTGTAATGTTTGACATTCTTTGATTTCAGGCATATGTGAGGGGGTTTCTTTCCAGAAGAAGACTCAGAAGATCTATTAGGTTAGTTTTGAAAAAATGATATTCAGTTTAATGAAGAAATGTACAAGGTCCGACAACTAAGTAATGAGACTAATTCCATAACAAATTTAAATAATCAACAGTTGAAGATATAACTTGTATCTGATTCAAAGAAAGCCCCTTGTGCATTGTTACAACAAGTGGCACGATCTAACAAACACTGGAATGACCTCTGTAGTTCTTCTGTTGTTATGGCCCTTAAAGTCGATGTTGTCATCAATATCATTAAAGAAGCATCCTTTCAATTGTAAATTTAATTTTGGGAATGGAAAATAATCACAGGGAGACAAATCCGGGGACTAGGGTGGAAGGCTGAGAACACACACTTGTTTTGGATGATATCTCTTGGGTAGTCAATCCGCTGTTTTTGGTCATCAGACAATGAATGTGGTACAAACCGGCAAGCAACTTTTTTCTTGCCAAAATCATGCACTAAAATGTTACGAATGGTCTCTCTGTTAACACCAGATTTATCTGCCATCATCCTCACAGTAAAACAATGATCGTCTTGTATTCGTTCTTTGGCTTTTGCAATGAGTTCATCATTACGAGCAGAAATTTTGCGTCCAAGTCTAGATGCATTAGTAATCATTTCCACACCACTTTTGAATCATGAATACCAGCCGAAAATCTGTGCATGGGATAAACAATTATTCCCCCCATAAACTTGTTGCATCAATTCAGCTGTTTCAATGGTGCTTTTTCTGAGTTTTAAAACAAATTTAATGTTAGCTTTTCGCTCTGTGCTGATTACTTAACAATGCACCTCTGACTAGGTCAGCAAAACGGCGGCTTGTTTGTTGTCTGCTCATCAAGTGGCGATGAAAAGTTGCTAGATCATAGGTGGATGTTGCCTCTTTAGATTCTATGCTTTGCTTTATAAATGGCATTTTTGTCTTGGTCATAATATAATCAGTCTCATTACTTAATTGTCAGACCTTGTATGTTTGTATTGTCTGTGGCTTAGGTGCTGCAAACGCGATTCGTAATATGGGAGTGCCAGGTTTGATCGCAGCTTTGGGCGATTTGGCAGCAGAACGTCTTGCATTGTTTTTGACAGTGGTACCAAGAGCTGACTGTCCAGAAACTGGCAGACTACTGACTGTAAAATTTGCCTAGAGCACCCACAACAGCCAAACATTGCTGCAACGTCCTGTAAAGGATATGCAACTAACTTAACTATATTTGTGTTTGCAAAACTATGTTCTTTAGAATTTTTCACAGCTGAATTTAGAATTTAAGCATTGGTCATGACTTATTTATATCTTAGTAAAAAAGTATCACGCACACATTTGGAGAATGCCTTAGAGCACTCCAGGCAGTTTTTCTTCTTCTTGTGTTCACTTTCTGATTTACACTGACAGACATGTTGTAATCACATATATTTAGCGGGGGTTGCGTAGTACTGTGGTTTTTGATCTGCCTTCTGGCCCAGTTTTTTCCACCAGGAAATCTCTTGAGGGGAAGAGTGTGCTCATCCCTTTGCCTTTATCTAGTCTCTGTCCCATCCAGTTTTACACTGGGGGTTGAGACCCCAACCTTTCGCTGGATTGCTGAGAAGTACAGGGTCTACCATGTGAAAGTAATGTAGGCTTGAGCAAGAGAGGCTAATAGACATTGAGTATTGTGCATCACTGCTCCATTAGAATCCCAACACTCCAGGCAGTAAATGCACAACTTGGATTCTGATTACCCACCATCATCTTGGGGGAGGACTTTGACTCTCTTGCAGTATTGCAGCTGGTAAAGTTTGTATGCTCAGCAGGCTTCATCACAGCTGACACCATGGACAATTTTCTCATGTTTTGTCAGACTAATGACTGCCTGGTATAAACACATGGAGGTGAGGTGAGTGCACCCTTGGTCCGTGTGCACACTAGTTTTAAGACAGTGTCTTTGCATCCCTTGTGACAAGTTTAAAATCAAGTTGTGGGAATACTTTTCACAAAGTTAATAAATACATATCAAGCTTTGTTTTCAAATAAGGCAGTTTAAAATACAACAGTGTGGCTAGTCGTTTCCCTTAACTAAATCATATCTTGCTGTGTGTCAGATAGTCAGCGCTATCTTGCATTAGATTTACAAATATCTTTTGTTGTCTGTAGAATTATATTTTAAATTATGGTTTAAAACAGTATATCTGTTTTATTTATTTCAAGCGTTGAACATTAGTTTTATCAAAAATAATCAGTCTTTAACATTTTCCCCCCTCCAAACAGGGAAGATTTGGACAGATTTCTGAAGATTCCACAGCCTGATGTGGAGTATAAGCCTGAATTACAGCCAGGTAAAAATGTGACAGGTCAAGGTTGTTCTGTTAAAATATTTATGAAATTTACAAGAACTAGAATAATAATGTAGGAAATTATTCTTGGGAGTGGAGGCAGGGGTGGAAAAGCATAATGGCTTGCACATAGTGCTAAGGATATACTGGGTATGAAAGTTCACAGGGCAGGAAAGTTGACAGGGGACTGACTGGCTTTCTGATGGGCTGTGATGAGAGCGACGTTCTACAAAGGACTTGCTACATGATGATGATGATGATGATGATGATGGTCGTTGTCCAGTTTTGCTTGTGCATATGCTTCTGTAGATGTGTGTGTTGCGTGTAGAGTATTAGCATGTCTGCCTTCATATGGAACACAGCTGGAGGGGGGAGAGAAAAAGGGGGGGGGGGGTTTATGATGATAATAATGACTTGTGGTTGCCTTTTTGTTTCCCTTTCTTCTTTAACTCTTTTGCTATCAGAAGCTGCAAACCCAGCACACTTCCAATAGGGTCCAGTTCCCTCTTAATGCCCTCTTAATATATATTTGTGTCATGGTTTATGCACTCAGTGTCGCAGGGCTTGGTATTCAGTCTCCTGTAGTGGCACAGTTTTTCTTACTAGTACATCTGAAAGAGCCAACCCAACTTCATAACATGGATACCATAATTTTTAGCTGCCAGTTAAAGCACATTTTACACCCAGAAGGATACCTTTGTCAACAAAGTAAAATCTATTAAGAACTAATTTTGGCCCAAGTTTATGCTACAGGTGTCAAACATGTACCCTGACCACAATTAATTAGTGCAAAATCATAACAACATAGTTGCCATGTCTGAGATGATCTGCTGGAGTAATTAACATCATCATCAGGTGCCTTGCCGACTAGCCTCTCCATAATCTGCGATCTCCTGCAGCATGTATCAGTTCGTGTGCTGACACACCTCTATGCCATGCAACAAGACGTTAAGAATCTTCTCTTGTTGTCTTCCTCTATCCCTCCTTTCACAGGTCTTTTCAGTGGTCACAACATGCTCTATTTTTCACTCTTCTCATAACATTGCCGAAAAATGAATACTGTCTCTTTCTGATGTCTGTGATAAGTTGTCTTCAGGCTCCAGCCTCTTTTAAAACCTCTTGGTTGCTCTTTTTTGGCTGTCCAAGGTATTTTAAGTATTCTTCTGTAAAACCACATTTCTGAGGCCTCAAGAAATTGTTTGGCCTGCTGGAGTAATACAGAGAGATAAAATAAAAAGTTTTGAAATTAGAAGACTAGGACTAAAATCAGTCATACAGTTCATTAATGAGTAAAACATAAAATGGTTTGGTTAGCTGATGAGAATGCTCTGGTGTCAGTTGCTACAGAGAACTGTGATAAAAATACAGTACACAGAACAAGCGCAAGGTCAGGACACAGAAGATAGAATGACAGCTTCAGTATCAGCCTTAAAAAAAAAACAATCAAATTATGTAACTCATTAGAATGAGTATACAGAAGATCTTACCCCGCCACCCATACCTCCATGAGGTAACTGGATGAACAGAAGAAGTTATGCTGACCACATTACCATTATTGCTGTTTGGTCTTAGAAAGACTAAAGAGTTAACATTTCTTCAAGATGCCTTGATGACACACAAAAGATATCTCCTTCCCTGCTTTCATAATTGTAGACTAATAGCCTCTTTAACCTAGCTTTATCTAGGAAAAGCTCAAAGTGTACAAAGCTGTCATACTTCCTGTACTTTTCTTTGCATGTGAAACATGGACCGTTTACCAGTGCCATGCTAAGAAGCTGAACAATTTCCACACAGTATGCCTCAGGAAGTTGCTGAACATAAAATGGCAAGACAGATCCCTGACACTGAAGTCCTTGTTAGAGCTGAACTGCCCAAAATTCACTCGATTCTAAAACAGTCATAACTTCGCTGGGCAGGTCATATAGTCCGCATGCCCAAACACTGTCTACAAAAAAGAATTTTCTATGGTAAGCTACAAAAAGGAAAATTCTCTCAAGATGGACAGAAAAAATGTTTCAAGGACAACTTCAAGACCTCACTGAAAGACTTCTGTATTGATCCAAAAACCTGGGAAGTCGCTGCTTGTGACTGCTCATTCTGGCGCTCCTCTCTTCATCGAGGAGCTGTGGCCCATGAAGCTGCTAGAACTGCAACAGCAATTCAGAAGACAAGCCAGGAAAGACACTGAAGCAAGTCACCAGAGAGATGCTGCCTCTGTTCCCTGTCCACACTGCTCAAGAACTTTCAGTGCTAGAATGGGCCTTATCAGCCATCTGCACACTCACAAAACCTAATCCAGTCATGAATGGATGAAAGGAATGGTCATCATCACCTGTGATGGACGAACAACAATCTAGATGAGAAGTTAAACCCTCTCCCTGTGTTCTTCTTTATTTGAGTAGATATGTTGGTGTCGGGCTTATGGTGCCTTATATTTCTTTATAGACATACTGAATAGCAACCTTTGCTACCCTGGTACTCTGGGTCAATCTGGGAACCACGATAATTTTGTAAAAATCTGCAACCCAGCAACACCATGCTGCATTCAAGTGTTTAGCCACCATTGCAGCTCTGTCTGTTTGAGGCAGTATATTTGGTGCTTCATTAATTTAAAAAAAAGAAGAGATTTGCATGTGATGATGGGAAAAAAAGAAGAAATATATAATGCTGCACTGTTATTCTGTCTGTTACACAGCTATTGAAGTATTCCACCTTGTGAAGAAGTTCCTGTTCATACACAATGCTCATTGTGATCAGGATAGAAAGGTAAGACAATTGTTTATTATTTCTCTTTGTGGGTTCCGGGCCCCATTTTCATTTTTATTTGGGGGGGGGGTAGACCCACTACACCCACCTCAACAAGACTGTCATAAAAACTGACTACATAGGTTTTTGTTTTTAAAGACAGAGTGCATCTGCTACAGCAGATCTCAGCACAGTATCACATCCCCCCCCCAATTGCTCTGACTGCTGCATCAGATCTCAGCACAGTATCATGTCCCCCCAATTGCTCTGACTGCTGCATCAGATCTCAGCACAGTATCACGTCCCCCCAATTGCTCTGACTGCTGCATCAGATCTCAGCACAGTATCACATCCCCCCCAATTGCTCTGACTGCTGCATCAGATCTCAGCACAGTATCACGTCCCCCCAATTGCTCTGACTGCTGCATCAGATCTCAGCACAGTATCACATCCCCCCCAATTGCTGTGACTGCTGCATCAGATCTCAGCACAGTATCATGTCCCCCCAATTGCTCTGACTGCTGCATCAGATCTCATCACAGTAGCACATCCCCCATTGCTCTGACTGCTGCATCAGGTCTCAGCACAGTATCATGTCCCCACAATTGCTCTGACTGCTGCATCAGATCTCAGCACAGTATCATGTCCCCCCAATTGCTCTGACTGCTGCATCAGATCTCATCACAGTAGCACATCCCCCATTGCTCTGACTGCTGCAACAGAGGATGGAGCACAGATGGGTCGGATCGATGTACTAGGATGTTGATACAGGCAACAAGTAACATAGTGCAGCTGCCTGAAAGGCAAGAAACCAACAAACTGCTTATAGATAAGCCATATTTGTAAAACAGATATGGATGCAGAACTCAAGTTATGGAACAAGACTAGTAGTTGATGAGCAAACAGAACTTTCTGCTGGAGTTTACAACCGGTGAATGCGAAGAAAAAAAAGAGTTTATTATCATCTTTATCATCCTTGTCATCATCATCATCTTAATTATTCTCATCATTACTATTGTCTTGACTCTTTGCCATATTTTTCTAAGACAAGGACATTTATCACCTGGTCTGAATCACTCACAGGGTGTGTTAAAATACATTGACAAAGTAATTACAGTCAAACCCCCACCCTGGTATACTAATTCTCAGATATTATGCATTTTGTTTTTAACCGAGGCTCAAGCAGAATTAATAATACTAACCATCTGATAATTGCATTTGAATCCTGTTAAATGCATGAACAATTGCCTGAGGAAAATGTTGAACTAAAATAGGATGAATTCAAAAGGGTTGAAGAAAATAGGGAAATGTCTGGGCAAGACAAAAATTTAGTTGCATAACCTTTTCACAACATTGTAGAGTGAACCACAGCATTTTTTTATGTTCAGTAGTTTGCTATTGCTTCTGAGCAGTTATCTCTCGACAGTACTTTCGAAAGCAACATAAGGCAATTCTGCTGCCAAATCGCCTAGCGCCTTAGAATTACGTATCGTGTCCGCAGTTACTAAGCCACAGACGCTGACTGCACACATATATATTTAAATATTATATTGTGCGTTGGTTTATATGAAACCGATGGCCATATTTTATAGTTTCTGTATAGCTTTAATAAAACACATATTGATTGTAAATTTGTTTTGTTTCTTTTGTCTAGAGATTTGAATATTTGTGCCGCTATATCCTTGCCTCAGTGGAAAGCGACGCCTTGAAGGTTTGATCTGTGTGATTTGTTTCTACGTAACTACTAAAAGTATTAAAAAAGAGGATGAGGGGAGTGTAAGGGGACGGGAAAAAGGGGGGGGGTGTTGATTGGACTCACTGCTTCTTAACAAGCATTTCATAAAAGGCGACTGAATAAGGATTAGCTGGAATCAGATGTGTTGGGTTGAAGAGCGCAGATATAAGTCTAGCTGTAAACCACAACTTGCTAACTGTTTTGTGTGTGTGGGGAAAAGAGCGACTGTAGAAGAAGCATTTCTAGTGCTTGTATTTTCCTTTTCGAGTTCGGGCATTAAGATCAACACTCCACAGGCATAGGTGAAATTCAAGTTCTGGAACAAGACTAAAGTCCAGACCTGGACAAATAACCAGAACTTTCTGCTGCAGTTTACAGCCAGTGAACATGAAGAAGAAGATCTTCACACAGCTTTTTGTGGTTGGGACAGTAAATCCAGAGAATAAGAGGCACTGGTCAATAAAATTAGGACCTGCACACAAAGGCAAAGGGTGGGATGAATTGTCAAGAGTTGATTGAGAGCCTGTTTTTAAAGGGCTAATAAAAAAGGGAAGAATAAAAGTGGTGGTTCTATTCCAGTACCTCCCCCCCCCCCCCCCCCCTTTCCCATCTAATCAGACAGTCAAATATTTTAGGGGGTGGTAGATAGGCTCCATGCAGTTGTGGGACCTAGGCTGCACTATCTAGTGGGACATAGGTGAGTTGGGGTTAAGCCCAGTTCTAGATGTTTTGGGGTAGTTAAAGGCATCAGAAAGCTGGGAAACCCGTTCTTACCACCCTGAAGAATATTGGACTGTCCTGTGACATCTCCTGGAAAAGGAGAGAGGGGGGGGGGAGATATTGGGAAAGCACCAAAATGATTCCTTCGAAAAAACCAGGATGGACTGCCTGAGAGGTAACATAAATCTTTCCTGTGATAACACATCTTAATGTAAGAAAATAATTTGATCATTTGTTAGTATGTTAGGGGCCTTTAGGGTGGGGGGAGAAAAACTCATAAAAGCTTGTGGTAGAAGGTGATTAATTAGGGATTCGCCTGAAATTTGATGTGTTGAACTGAAAGCTGCAAATATGGCAGCATACCTCTAAAACTACAACACACCATGCCACCTCTCCACAAATGGTGAAAATATGGGCGTGACTGCTGTCAAGCTTATACAAGGAATTCCAGAGAAATTTGACTAAAAAGCTCAACATAATGGGAAAGCAGAAAAACGTGAACAAAACAACACAATGTAACGTTTCGGCCGGGAAGCCTTTTTCAAACATAAGTGAACTACACAAACGTCACAACGAGGAGAGGAGAGTTGTGTTGTTTTGTTCACGTTTTTCTGCTTCCCCATTTTGTTGAGCTTAGTCAAATTTCTCTGAAATTCACCTCTCCACATTTTGAAGAGCAAACAGAGAAGTTACTAAGCTATTCTTAACTCTTACTGTACCATAGGTCAGTTAAATTAGTTTTAAATCAGCACCTGGTGTGCTCCTTGGTACCAAAAAAGTTAAGTGAGATATTTGTTGTTCTATTTCAAATAGTGAGATATAATTAAATGTTACTGTTCATTGATGTCCACAGAGCTGCTATGTGGCAATTTCCTGCAACAAGCAGTATGTGATAGCTTGGATTGCCCAATTAAAGTCTCTCTTGTGGACTTGCTGCCAGTATTTTTACATTTTAAAGGTAGGTTTGTGGTTATTTTCTCTAGAGAAGGACATGATGTGTTTCTTGGGACTCAAAGAGTTAAAAGTATTATGTAATAAAGTTTCATACTTTTAAATATTCTATTACTAACAGTGTTTGAAAGAGACCTATTCAGTTTTTTAAAGTTTTTGAAAATTATCATAGCTGAGGCTTATAGTTTTCTATTGTAATATGTTGTAAACATTTATAATTTATTGCATTTTGTAGCACTATTACATATTTATTTTATGAATTAATAGCCTGAAAATCACAATGACCTCCGCACTGTGATGGTGTTTTTACGAATGCTAGTGACCTTTACATCACATACAAACTGGGTGGCTTTCAGGGACAAAGAAAGTGAGTATTTATTCTTTGTCAGTTAATCATTATGTCTCTCTGTCTCTCTTCCCCCTCTTATATATGTGTGTGTGTGTGTGTGTATATATTATAATTAATATTAGACTTAATTTTCAGCCTAGTCATGGTCATTGAGGTAACCATATGTATCGGTTCCTCCTCCTCCTTCTCTCTCTCTCTCTCTCTCTCTCATCTCTCTCTCTCTCTCTTTCTCTCTCTCTCTCTCTCTCTCTTTCTCTCTCTCTCTTTCTCTCTCTCTCTCTCTTACTCACAAACACACACACACACACAGTTGTGTGGCACATTCCATATCCGGGGACAGTTTTTTTCTTAGTTTCAGTCCATTGCTGACAAGAAATTTGTCCTGCATTGGAAATGTACACAGAATAGCAGTTCATAACAAGAGAACACAACAATCACAAAGATAAATCACAGCCAGCAAACACTAACACAGCAGTTCATCGCCATCTTGAAAATGGAAGTCTCAATGTTTTAAAATTTCTCACATCATGCACACAGGTTCTCCTAATTTGTTGCTCTTATTCGAGGAAGCTAGGTGTTAGATCCACTACTCCAGAACCAGGGAGGGGTTTATTATGGCATGCTTGCGTTCCTTATTTTATAAAAATCTCTACCAAATTTGGTACAGAGTTGTCTTGAGCCAGAAGCAGACAAGATGCCTTTTAGTCGGTCTGCCAAGCAGAATCTGTCTTTGTAAGAGTAACTAATTGTTGTTTGGTGATTTGGCTGCTGTAGACTAAGGTGAAAAGGAAAAGGAATAGATCAGTGCTTGATTGTAGGAGGTGTGTGGTGAGGTCAGGATGAGATGTGTACAGATGTCATTTGATCACCCTGACATCTTCAATCAGCCAGTCAGGTGCTGTCTCAACAACGAATGTTGGCTGCATTGGATCTTCAACATGCTGTCTCTTGTCTTGGTCATACACTCTCTCAGACTGCTGTTCGTCCATCTCTTGATGTTGTCATCCCATTTTTATCATTGTCTACCTCTTGCTGTCTTGCTCTTGATATTTTCCTCCAATATGGTTTTTTTAAAAGAGTGTTGGGTCTTTTAATGTGGCTAAAATATTTCAGTTGTTTAAACTTTTTTTTTCAGTAACTCTCTTTTTTATTTGCAGTCTTTTTGATTGTTTTTTTTTGGTTTTCATTAAATAGAATATTTTTACTGGGAAGTTAACCTGTTCGGCAAATGCTCGAAGAAGTTGGTTGTGTCAGCTGAAAGGCCACAATATTTTGACCTCACAGACTCTCCGGACCACTGAACGATTACAAAAGCAGGCTAGCTCACGAGACTGTACATGTAAAGAAAAACAAATGGTGGCATAGTTCTGAACCTTTTTATCTGTTCCCTTAAAATAATCAGTCAGTCTGAGACCACTACTATAAGTTGAACTATCAGAACTACACTCTGTCACTACTACTTCTACTTCTAACCCATTCGGCACTGCTGCATTCTGGTTGCCCAAACCGTCCTCTCAGACACTTGGTCACTGACCAACCAGCTTGCTCGTTTCCATGGCCTCACATAGTTCACATAGTAACGTTTTTTTTCCTGCTGTCAGTTCCATATCCACCCCCCCCCCCCCAAAAAAAAAAATTACACAAGAATCCTAATTTTTTTCTTCATGTTCACCAGCTGTAAACTCTGGTGGAAAGTTCTGGTTGTTCATCCACTTTAGGACTGCAGTCCTCCTATTCCTGAACCTGAGTGCTGCATGTGCATCCGTTTTACAGATCTGACTAATTTGTATGCAGACTGCTGGTTCCTTGCCTTTCAGGCAGATGCACTCCGACTTCAAAGGAAGCTCCCAATCAGTCGACTCTTATGACATGCTTTTGGGTGAGCAGTGGGTCTATTCTTGTGTTCCCATAATAGGGCCCCGGAACGCACACGGGGAAGAATCCTTATAATCAGTCAGAAAAGTAATTTTTACAATTGTAAGTCATTTAACTGTTCACTTACTTGTTTGTCTATGTATTTTCACAGATCTTCATCCAGGTTTCATAAGGCTGTGTGAAAATGTCATGGGGGAGCTGAATAGCAAGGGATTGTATACTGCAATTGAGGTAGAGTTTTCTGACATTCAGTTGACATATATCTGCATCTAAGTATGTCATTAGTTCCATGGCAACTCTTTGTTCTGTGGTGCAATCTTAAGTAGTGACAGTGGGTCCCCGGCCACAGCTAAATTTTGAGAAGTGAGAGAACAAACTGCTTAGCAAATATTTGGAGCAATACATAATAATAAAGTTATGATGAGAACAGGACCCATATCGAGGTAGCCATTGGAACACTTCCTATCCAGAACATAATCTTGAAGACCCAGTAAATGTCCTTACAAGAAAGAAACGGACTGTTGTATTTAGATTGCAAATTGTACACAATAGACTACAGCCATCATCTTGTAGCAGGTCTTTTGCAGAACATCACTCTCTTCACTGTCTGCCTGAAGGAAACTGTCTCTCACCAGCTCTCCCACCTTGTGCACTTTCATATCCAAGGAGTCACTTATATCATGTTCCCATCTTTCTGTTGGTTGCGCTGTCACACAATGCTGGTGTCACTTACCTTTGTTAGGGTTTACCCTAATGAACCAAAAGGCACTCTGAAGTAGTTTTAGTGTTAAGATGTTGGCTGGCAATGGTCTAGGGGAAATCCCGCAGCTTCAATGAACACCCAACCTAATTCAGGGGTGAGGTGACTCAAATTATGGCACTACAGAATACTTAAACATTTCAAGGCGCAACTTGGCCTGACTTCTTCACTACTTTTAAAGCCCCCAGACTAGACGGTAACCTATGCTAGTCAAATTAACACAGTATAACATGAATTAAAACAATATAACAAATACTCCAGACACTTGAGAACTGTATAGGATGGACACTAACCATACAATGTGGGATAACAAACATTATGTAATCAGTGCAACACATGTAGAAAAATAAAGAATATAATTCAGCAAGATCAATCAAACCAGCTAAGAAAGCAAAGAATATACTACTCGAGATGGACTCCTGGTTAGTCCCAAGCCACAACCATATTCATCACTGCCACCTGTGGAATTTTTGACCTAGAGAACTGGCACTGAATGTTAGAGTTAACTGCAAGCACTGGTGATCCCACTTAGCTTTCAGGATGTCCTGTTCAGTCGACTTGAGGCCTCCTCTCACATCTGGCAGTGCAGGCATGCAGTCTTGTTGATTCCATCTTAAAGAATGTATATTAGTCACTGGAATTCATAGAACTTTAATTGTCCTCTAGACTACACATAAGTTCTATTGAATTTCCAGGTAATTCACGGACATTCTGGTTGAAGATACAGGCTGATGATGATGCACCTTGTACCACAACTGACTGTTGTCGGCTATGGAGCCACTGCTATGGTGCATGGACTGGAATGAGTTATTCCCGCAATGGATGAAATGAAATAAATGAAGGGGCAAAAATATTAATAAAAGTAGTAATAATAATTAAATATATAATAGTAGTAGGGGTAAAAATGCTTATGACCTTAAGGGAAGCTGAGCGATGAGGTCTGGACAATGAATGGATATATTCTGCACATGGTAAGGAGGCATTTCCTAGTCCCAAAAGGAAGAGCTGTATGGATTGGCATGAGTTGGCTTTTGACTACTACCACCACCATTACTACAATGACTACTAATATTACTGCTACTACTACTCATGCTACTACTACTTTAGTTTGGTTTTTAAAACAGCCGAATGTTTCACCCAGTTAGTTAATATTGTCCTTACAATCTATTCCAGGCATTGTTGAGGAAAGGCTTGTGTCGGTCAAAGCCTGTATTCAATAAAGCCATCATGACCGCTGTAATAACAATAAGTCTTAGGTAAGTTTATATCTGAGATGATAATTTTATGAAAAATAATTTTCTTAGAATTTCTTTGAGTTACCAAAATCAAAACAGTACTATCTGTAAACAGTGAAAGATGGTCCATGTAAGAGCAAGTTAACAGTTGTGAATTTAAGTTGCAAATAGTGCGTAATGTGCAAGACAATGGAGACCGAGAAGCTGGGAGAAAGTTAGTTAGGAATGAGAAAATATGTGTGAAGGTGGATTGGAATGGTCATGTCAAGCGCCTCGGTGATTTGAGAAAATAATAACAGAAATCATGGTACCAGGAAGGAGGGGCAGGGATGAACCAACGCAAAGATGGGCACAGGATATTAGTGACTCATTGAATATGAAAGTACACGAGGCGGGAGAGCTGCCGAGAGAGACTGAGTTTCTTTCAGGCAGACCGTGATGAAAGCGATGTTCTGCAAAGGACCTGCTTCGTAATGAATGTTTGGAATGAAAGATGCTCTTGAAAAACATTCCAAAGTCAACATTCTTTTCTTGGCAAGAAGGTGAAATACCCGAAAGTAGAAACCAATCGGCTGGAGTATGTCAAGAAAATATGGGTTGATCAGTTTTCAGACATCATGGGAATTCCTCAGAATGAATTTAAAGTCAGTTATGGCTAGGCACAGCGCTTTATGGCACGAAATGACCTTATGATTCGGCAGAGGACAACAATAAGCCAATATCTCAAATAAAAGCAGTACCTATTTTTCATCAATGATTTTCGAGTAAGATACTGCAGTCTGTACATAAATAAATAGGGTAAATTTAATGAACCTTATTTTTAATTATTCCTCATTTGAGAGGATATGTGTTATGAGCCTCTTTTATTTTTATTCAGACAAGTGTCTAGCCACTTCATTACCACAGCTCCTAGTAGGAGCTGAAAAAGGTGAGAGGCATGCTTCATGCAAAGAGGATGCTTGGCTTCAGGAGTTATGGGTGCGGAGCATTGTGTGGATCTTTTCCTATGCTGGTGTGTTGGGAAATGAACAGTTGGACAGACTGGCTGGCTCTGCACAACTTGGTGGAATATTGATGTATGATAAGGCAGACATGGTTAGGGCCTTGTGGGAGAACAGGTACAATTCGGAGGAGCAAATGGATCACCACAGTCAGGTGAGAAGGATGCAGAGGGGATCTCGTCGATACTCGACGCTCAGAGGAAAGGCAAGATAGACATATAATCAGAATGCTGCTGGCACCATTGATATGGGAACTCTGCGCTGACTACTAAAGATGGGGATGGAGCGCTTATTTGAATGCCATGAGTGTTGTGATGTCGGTTCTTGAATCAACTCAACTCAGCTCCCAAGAGTTAAAATACGCCTAAAGTCTGGACATGAAAAACAACGAGTGAATGTGCTGAAACTGACAGCACTGGATTTATAAACATTAAGTTGACTTGAATTTTGCAAAGAGCATCAACGTTTGCATTGCAGATGATGAAAATCATGTTGAAGTTTTTAAATATTCCTATTGAATAAAATGTTGCAAATAAATTACATTTCTTGAAAATATGTCTTTTTTGCCTGTGTGTGTCCAGACTTTAGGGACTATAACAGAGTTGATCTGGTCTGTTTCAGGCCACTGCTTGCAGCCAACTTCTCCAACAACCTCCTGAGCATGTTTCTGGTACACATGCTTTCTGTGCCTGCGGTCATCATCCACATCAACTCCATAGCTCAGGATGTAAGTTTGCTGTCTGCTAGTCCTCTTGTTTAGTTTATTTGTTTCTGCACTTGACATCCATTAGATGTGGCAGTTATTGACAGGCGTCCTTTGGTCATGTGATGAGAAGGGAGAAAAACTGGAGAACATCATTGACAGTAGGAGTGTTGGAGGGGAGGAGAGGCAAAGGGAGGGAGAGAGAAAAGATGCTGGACAGTTTGACATCATGGCATGGAGGATCGTTTGTGTCAGAGTTGATTGAAAGTACACAAGACAGAACGTTGTGGATAGACATGACTACCAGCGCTATATGGCATGGACTTTAAGAAGAATAATCATTGTGTGTGTTTGTGGGATGGGGGAAGGGGGAATAGATCCACTGCGCCCCCTTTCCTTCCCAGCAAGCATGTCGTAAAAGCTGATGTTGGGGATGTTTCCTTTGAAGTTGGAGTGCATCTTCTTTCAATCCTGCAGTATATGTTCAGAAGTTGGTCTGTTTTATGCCATAGTATAATAAGGTGTGGCGATCAGTTCCTTTTCTCACCACATTTACTTTTCAGTTAAATGAAATAATAGACTCATTTAAACTAAGTGAGTCATATGGTGCTGCCACCATACACAAAAATGCTATTATTGCCATTTTTACCACAGTTGTGGTGTAGGCAGAGGGATTTAGCCTGAGGATTTAGGGCCTTACGGTTGGTGCATTTAACGTGGCCGAAATACCTCAGCTTTTGGGACAGAATGCTGTTTAAATTCATGCTACTATCTTGATAAGCAAGATTCAGCTGTGTGTTACAGGTCTTCATTGGCAGCCACCCTTTTTAAGGATGAAAGCAGAAGAAAAAGCACAAGGTTAGCAAGATATAATTTGGCCATCATTTACTCTGATATTCCTTCTGCTTCTTTGCAGTCGCTGGCTGTAAACTCCACCAGAAAGTTCTGGTTGTTCATTCATTCACCTCTAGAATTTAATCTTCCAGAACCTGAGTACTGTGTCCACATCTATTTTACAGATTGACCTTATTTATATGGAGACGTTGGTCAGGCAGATGCACTCTAACTTCAAAGAAAACCCCCAGTTATTTGACTCATACGACATGCTTTTTGGGGAGACAGTGGATCTATTCTTATTTTCCCCACAATGGGGCTTCGGAATTCACACAAGGATATCCTGACATTTTATTGTTTTGAATACTCATTTGAGGTGTTTTCTGCTTACATTTCAGTGCATCTCAACCTTGATTACTCATCGAATCTTCAAAAGATGCCTCGATCTGTTAGCCTGTGAGCAGAATACAAGAATAATTTTCAACTCTCTCGAGGGGAACTATGCCCTGTGTCTGATGGGTTGGTATTGCTTTTTTTTTTCATCATTTACCCGTGATAGGTAATGGGACATCACTCTTTGCACTGTGTCTTTTGCTCTGATAGTTGTGATTTTAGGTCAAGGACCGAATCATTTTGCTTCAGGTGTGTAATTTATACAGTCATCCCTGGGGATCAGCACTGGAGCTACAGAATTTGTGCCTTGTGCGCTGCTCTCGGCAAGTCAGTAATTCTGTGGAGACTGAACCAAATAGGATAAAACAAGGAGTGTTGAAAGTGATCCTGTCAACTTATTTTAAATGTTTATCTCATAAATGTTGGTTCCCTCATGTGGGTTCTTTGGCCCCGTTGTGGAGAAACAAGAATAGACCCACTGCCTCCCTAACAAGCATGTCGTAAAAGGGGACTAATTAGAGCTGGCAAGAGCTGTTCCCTCTGAGTTGCAGAGCGTCTGCCTGAGTGGCAAGGAACCAACAGTCTTCATACAATTAAGCTAGACCTAGTCTGGATGTGCATGCAAAAGTAAAGTTCTAGAACAAGATTCAAGTTCAGAAGTGGACAAACAAACCAGAACTTTCCACCAGAGTTTACATCTGGTGGACGCTAAGAAGATAAAGATATGTGGATTGTATCTTTTCAACGTCCTAGTTGCTGAACTTTTTCAGAAGTGAATTAACTGATAAGATGGATTCCTTCTGGTTCATGTATTACATTAAAATCACACCAGTCAGGGATGTACAGGGTCAAGTGAATTATATAGTGTAGGAGTGGTCAGCAGACATAAGTAATGTAAGGAGTAATTTGTGAACATAAGTAATGTACATTGAACACAGGTAATCTAAAGGAGGATCCATTGAACACAGGTAATGTAAAAGAGGATCCATTGAATACAGGTAATGTAAGAAGGATCCATTTAACACAGGTAATGTAATGGAGGATCAACTGAACATAAGTTAGGTAAAGGAGGGTCCGTTGAACACAGGTAATGTAACAGAAGGATCAACTGAACATAGGTAGAGTAAACGAGCAGTCAGTGTGTGTATGTAATGTAAGGATTACTCAGTGAATGTGTGTGATGTCAGGAGTAGTAAGTAAACATATGCCAAGAAAGAAGCAGTCAGTGAACATAAGGAGTGAAAGGAGTAACTGAACTTATTTAATATAAAGAGGTAAGCCACCCCAATGATGAGTCCATAAGCCTCTCGAGAACTGCTTTTATTTATCTCTTGGGCACCCAGTTTTGTATAATATCTTAGAGTTACTGCCCTTGTGTCTCGGGGCATTTTTTGGGCCAGCAATTAATTGAATGTGGCCACACTCGTGTCTATTCATTCTTTCTACTGGCCAGACAGAAATGTGACTTCTATCCAAAGATACTTCAGTTGATTGATTTTGTTTATGTTTGTTCATTGTAGATTTATGTATGTACTGATGAGGGCTTTATAGCAGCAACAGTCACTTGTTATCTTTGTGATATTGTGAAGCTGACTGGTTCTAATTTTCGTTTGGTTTTTTATCTTTTCATGATATTAATGTAAAGTGCAGTCATTGAACAATGAAAATTCAGTTTAGTATATGTATGTCATGCAAGATGCAGTAACTGCACATATATGATGTAAGAAGTAGTCAGTGAACATAATTTTGAATTACTTGATATAAGAACACTTAAAATATTATTTATAAACACATACATACAATTTTTTCTATCCCTTCTTCCACTTCAGTTGGGATTTTATATATGCCTAAATATATATTTATGTATGTTTTATGTATATAAATATATATGCATATTTACACCTGCATAAACACTCACACATATAATTTGAATTTATATCATCAATTAATTTTAATGCAAGTCTTAACACTTGTTTTTCAGCAAACTTGATTCAGCTGGGATTCATGGAAATGGAGGTATGAAGCAGAATTCTAATTTCTTTGGGTTCATTCTAAACAGTTATATAACTTTTGAATAAATAAACAATGACCACTACATACATGCACACGTGTGTACCCACACATATTCTTTGCTTCATTTCCCATGTTGTAATTATTTTTTTAACATTAGTAAAACTAATATTATTTGATTTTGATTTGGTTAGATACAGATTACGCCCACGTGTCACCAGGCCCTCACGGGAAGCAAAGAATAGTGACACTGCACCCTATCAGGCATGTCGTAAGAGGCGACTAAGGGTAGGGTTGGGCTTGAGGTTGGCTACCTCATCCTGTAAAACCAATAGCCACAAAAACCAACCAACCATGGATAAGTCAAAAAGAGAAGCAAGTAAAACCCAGCCAGTCAATTTGAGAGGAGACTCTTCAAGTAGAAGTATGACATTGTGTAGAGAAAGCCGAAAGAAGTCCGGATCCTCGACATATCTCCTCTCAGTTAGGAAAACCTCCAGAATTGGCACGTGGAATATTAGAACTCTCTATGATATAAGGAGAACAATGGAAGTAGTAAGGGAAATAAACATGAGAACAGCATAACTAGAATGTCTTTGGAACCCGCAGGGGCATAGGAATAAAGAAGGGCCAAAAAACACATGGAGAAGAGAGCTGTAGAATGAAGTTAAAAAGATGGGGAGGACATGGGGAGAGCTCCATGTAATAGCGAAGGATAGAACGACTTGGCAGGAGTTGGTTCTTCTTCTTCTTCAGCGATCTCTGGTCATGCGCATAATCCACTGTGGGTCATAAACTGGGATGTCTTTTCAAGGTCTCTTAGGTTTCCCCAAAGCTTAGTTGTCAGTTCTACTGGGTGTTGCCATATGTCGCTCCGCAGCTCCGCCAGGAGAGGACAGTCTTGCAGGACATGTTCTGGAGTCTGTTCAGCACGAAGACACTGGCAGAGAGCTGTTTGGCTCATACCTAATTTATATGAGTGTTTATTGAGTCTGCAGTGTCCAGTGCGTAAGCGAAAAACTGTGACTTGGTCTGTTCTGTTCAAGTGCCTCAGAAAATCTTTTCCGTAGTCATAACCAGTGTTGTTTTTCCAGTCTGTTTCTGATTTTCTCTTAATGAGAGTTTTGACTTCTGGAAAAGATAGTGGCTGGTAGGTCTGTAGTTTGTTACTGCCTTCCTTGGCTAAAGCATCTGCGCTTTCATTGCCTTTGATGCCACAGTGAGACGGAATCCACTGCAAGTGAATTTCTGCCTTATTTGACAACATAGCAAGTTCCTGTGTTATACTTTGTAGTGTGCTGTCGGTAGGTTTGGACTCAAGGGCCTGTACAGCTGACAGTGAGTCAGTGAGAAAAACTATCCTGCCTGCGGTGATTTGCAGATTGTTCATATACTGTGCTGCCATCAATAGAGCTGAGAGTTCTGCCTTGTAGTTAGAGCAAGTACGTCCGGTGGGGGCTGCTAGGGACACAGTAGTGGCATCTGGGTGTTTTATGTAGACACCTGCCCCACCATTCGTAGTTGCTTCTTTTGCTGATCCATCCGTGTAGATTCTTGTCCAGCTGTCCTGTGGGAACATGTTGTTGAGGTGTTCTATTGTGAGTGCTTTCTTCACTAAAGCGGGCTCAGCATCTTTGTTTCCCAGGTTTCGGGATGGATGTTGACACATTGAGTGTCAATAATTTGGAGTCCCAGAGATCGAAAGATAGCTCTTCAGGTGTACATTTTTGGTTAAGTAGTGAAGAGAATGACTTCCTTCCAAATTCCTTCGTTAGATGGTTTAGGCTTTTGCGCTTTATTCTGTTTTTTGTCCTGGCTGCCAATTTTTCGTGTAATGGGTGGGTTTAACATTCTCTTCATTTTTTCAGCATGTAGAATTGCTTTTGTCCTTCTTCTTTCTTCTAAGGGGATGATGTTGGCTGCCTTTTCCATTTCTACAATAGGTGTAGATTTTATGGCTCCCAGAATTGTACGCAGACTTCTATTTTGCGTTTTGTCTAGTATCTGTTTATTGGAATGGGCTGCTGTTATCCATGACGATGATGCGTATTCGAGAGTTGGTCTGACTGTGCCGGTGTATACCTGCTTCAAGATACAACTGTCTGCTCCCCAAGTGGTGCCTGCCAATTTCTTCATCACACCTTGTTTTCTCATGGCTTTTTTGTTAGTTTCTAGTATGTGATGTTTCCATGTCAGACGACTGTCAAGCTTGACTCCCAGGAAGGTTGGAGTATTGGAGCGTGGAACAGCATCATTGTTGAATTTTAATGTAAACTTTTCCTCCTTTGTAGACAATGAGAAGAGTGTTGCTACAGTTTTGTTCCTGTTTACTTCGAGGCCCCATTTGTTGGCCCAGTTTATGACACTATTCACACTTTCCTGGAGTTTTGATATAGCAGGTCCAATGAACTCAGAGGTGTACCACACAGCTAGGTCATCTGCATGAAGAGAATGTGATACATGTCTGGGTAAAGTTTGAGGTAGGTCGTTGATGTAAATCAGGAACAGGACTGGAGACAGTACACTACCCTGTGGTACTCCTGCTCTCAGCTTGAATCTGGGACTATGTGCTTCATCTAGTTTCACAGATGCCCGCCTGTGTGATAGGAAGTCTTGTATCCAGTAGTACATTCTGCCTCTTATTCCACTATGTAAGAGCTTTAGCATCAAGCCATCCTTCCATACTTTGTCAAAGGCCTTGGACATATCAAAAAAGACTGTGAGGGTTTTCTTCTTTTCCTGGGAAGCCATTTTCTATGTCCTGTGTAAGGTATGCTACCTGGTCATCAGTGCTTCTGTGCTGTCGGTAGCCTGTCTGAGCGGGATCCAGTTTGTGATTGGTTTCTAGGAACCACTGAAGTCTGGTGGCTAGCACTCTCTCCATCAGTTTTGCGGGGCAGCTTAGCAGACTGACAGGCCTGTAGCTCTGAGGGTCCTTCTTGTCCTTGCCACTTTTGAGGATAGGGTGGATTATAGCATTTTTCCAGATATCTGGGACTCTGCCTAGTTTCCAGCTATAGTTGTATATCTGGAGTAAGATGTTTTGTGCTACTGGACCCATATGTTTGAGCATGTCGTTTGAAACTTCGTCTGGGCCAGGTGCCTTCTTTGACTTGAGTTTTCTCATTGCTCTTAGTAGCTCAGTTAGAGTGATGTCTGTCTCCATGCATGGCTCACAAGAGGCTTTTTTGAATATGGAGTTTATCCCATCTCGGACTGCTTTCTTTTGCTCCAGGGTTACTGAATATGAGCTTTCTTTCTCGTAGTTTCGGGCCATCAGAGTCGCTGCTTCCTTCCCTGTGAGTAGATTTCCTTCTTGTTGGAGAACTGTTTTTCCATGAGATGGGTTGTCATCATTAAGTGCCTTTGTCAGTCTCCACAGTTTTGTGGTGTCTTTTTCCATGTTCAGAGAAGCAGTCTTTTCTTTCCAGGACTTTCTACACTGTAGGTTTCTTTCTCTGACATAGAGAGCCCTTGCTTTGTTGTGTTGCTTCACATGTTCGTCTGTTGGATCAGCTTCCATGCTATCTCTAGCATCACAGAGCGAACCGTGAAGCACTTCCAGTTCTGGTGACCAATATGGCTTGTAATTGTGCCTCTTTCCTCTAGGAATGGTTTTTTTTTTGCTGCATTCAGTATGGCCTTGTTGAATTCTTGTGCATCTCTGTCAACCTTACCTGAAAGGCTGATTGCTTTGCAGTTTGAGTCTGCAAGTTCTTGAAAAAAGTTTCCAATCTGCCTTTTTGTAGTTCCAGCTTGGTGCAGTATCTGGAGATTTTCTATTTTAAGGCTGTTTATCAGAATCTTCACTGGCCTGTGGTCACTGCCTCCTAACTGGTCGCACACCTGCCTAACAGATATCTTATGGATGTCGTCTGTTGCAAATGCTAGATCAGGTGTGCTTGTTGTGCGCCACCGTCTAGAGTAGTGCGTATGCGGGTCATCAGGGTGATTGAGAAGGGTGAGACAGTTTGTGATTAGCCACTCCTCAAGATTTTCTCCACGAGCATCTAAACAGTCATAACCCCAGCTGGGTGAGTGACTGTTCAAATCTCCGATAATTAGCAAGTTGCTCTCTTGAACCTGTATAGCTTCAAGTTCGGTGGGGAGGGTAGGTGGTGAGTAAATGTTGTAGACTGACATATTTTTATTTTTTAGTTGCAGCTGGACAGCAATGAATTCAGTATTCAGCTGGTTGGATCTATGTAGTTCAACCGCTGGTATTGAATTACGAACCAGCGTGGCAACCCCACCTTTATGTCTATTTTCTCTGTCTTGGCGAAATATTTCATATCCTCTAATATGAAATCTTTTACTTGGGTTGAGGTGCGTCTCTTGAATGCAGATAACGTCGATTTTTTCTGCTCGCAGGCGTTCCTCTAGTTCTCTCTTTTTGTTAAATACGCCTTCGGCGTTCCACTGCATGATTACAAGTGGTGGAAGTGTGTCCTCGCAGTTAGAAGTGACACCCTGTCCTCCCCTAGCAATGCAGGAAGCCGCGGGGCTGTTGGTGGCTAAGGGTAAACCTATTTGAGATGTGAGAGCGAGTCCCGCTTTCACTTGATTGTTACCCAACGTGGTGGTACCACTATTGGATAAATATTTGCGCATGGCCATTGAGTTAACCGTATGTGTCGATTCCTCCCCACCAAATATATGGTTGACACATTCCGTTTCTGGGGACAGCTTTTATCGAGTTTGCTCTCTAGACAGTTGCAGTCCCCTGCTGACGAGATTCTGTCTTCCCGAGTGGACCGCCGCGATCAAAACATTGCGAAGGCAGCGTGGTCGAGGCTGCCAAAACTATCGGTCATTATCCCGCCCCGACACAGCACAACCACAATACACGCTGTTCCCACGAAAAACACATAATATCCTGCGTTGGAAATGCGCATAAAATAGCAGTCCATTATTATAGAACAGAATAATCCGAGAGAATTGACAGCCAGCGAAAATAAACACAGCTGCTGTCCGCCATTTTGAAAACGGAAGTCATCAGGAGTTGGTTGAGGGCCTAGCTCCAATGGGAGATAGAAAGGAAGAAGAAGATACAAATTAGTCATTATAAATTTTACACTGTTATTATCAGAGTAGGATTATGAAAGAAAAACAACAAAGCAGCTATAAAAAAAAGTAGTTAACTGAATGGGGAGAAAAAAACGGATCTGAGTATTTCTTTTTCTTTCATTTCAGGGCCTTGTTGAGAACACAACCAATTTTATGGTAAGAAATAATTCTTATATTTGAAGAAATCAAAGAAATGTTTTCCTGCTTATGTTTGTTCATGTTTATTCGATGGATCAACATCATGACACGCGGGTGTAACCCATAAATGCTCCGTCCTACTTTTAACTCAAGCCTGAGTCTGAACATGTCAGCACAGTGCATGAACTCTGTTGCACCAGCGAGAATCCTGAAATACTTTGGGTAGATTTTTAACTCTAAATTTTGCCTGGGCAGCACGGTTAGACTACACTTTTTTAAATTTTTAACTGCCAAAGTTTTTTTTTTACATGTGCAAGAATACACACGGGCGTCTGATCTTACTACCCAGAGACCAGGGAAAATTACTAGAAGTCCATTTGAAAAAAAATTCTAGCCTTTACCAGGGCTCTAGCCGGACACCAAACCTCGAGACTACTAAATATGACGTAAACAAAAGATTGTACAATTTATTCTTCTTTTTCTTCTTCTCTTCCACCTTGTACCTCATCGAAGTGTCGGGGGGGGGGGGGGGGGGGGGGAGATGTAATGTTTGTTGATGAGCTCTGTCAAGAGCACTTTTAAGACTGATGTTCATTTCTGTAAGGCTGTTCTTAATGCCATCACTTCATCTTTTCCGAGGTCTTCCACTCACTCTATACCGGTTGTAATGTTTTAGTGTGACGCGCTGTGGCAGATAGTACCAGGGCATTCTTGTTAGGTGTCCAAACCACTTCATTTGTTGTTCTTTGATGACCTGTAAGACTGGCTTTATTCCTAGCATTCGTCTGATTTCGTGATTTCGTATTCTGTCTTTCCTTGAAACTCCTGCAGCTCTTCTAAGGCATTTCATTTCTGTTGTCACAATTTTACGTTCATTGAAGGTTATAAGTGTCCACGTTTGGCATTGATAGCATAGTGTTGGCCAAAAAATAGTTTTGATAAGATTCAACTTAGGACTCTGAAGTATCTGCTTGTGTGTCAACAGGGGAGATAGTTGCCCCATTACTTGATTAGCTTTGGCACATCTCGAGCTAATTTCTCTGTCCAGTTTTCCGTCAGATGTGAAAAGTACAATTTATCGCTTGGTATATTTCTCTGAGCCCCATGGTTGTCTAGAGAGAGCGTTGATGGAGGGGCAGTTTTCAGAAAACGAGGCAGAGGCCGACTTCTGGGAAAGTGGATACAGGACATTGAAGATGCAGTGACTATGAAAACACTCAAGGCTGCAAAATTGGCCAGAGAAAGAGAGAGACTTTCAGACCTGCCGTGAAGAAAGTGATGTTTTGTAAAGGATATGCTGATTGATGGATTTATTTTTCTCTGTTATCTTGTCAGTTTTTACCAAATTATTAAACTTGGTTGTAAACTTGTGCCGGTGCAAGCCTGGATCATAAGTCACCACCATTTGTGTTTCAGCATCTTTCATGAATTTCAGTTAAAATGCGCCTTGTCACATTGTGTTTCCACAGTTCTTTCCCAAAATCTCCACCCTTTCGCCTCAAGAAGCTGAAAAACTTACACTTCCAGTTGGGTCCAGTTCGTTGTAAATTTCACTTTTCCGACTTACTTATTGTGACCTGTTTGTATATTGAATGCAGTTGGCTGAGTTCATGCTTGTGCAAGCATTTAGGAAGTCAGGATATAAATAAATTAGTAGCATTTAATGGGGTTTTGCTTTGTACTAAAGGGATTTTTTATAGCCATGATGATGATAGATGTTCTTATAAACCTTAGTGGTAAAGGTCACGAGATCATGGCATGAGTCACCTTATATGTGTGTTTTAGCGCCTAAGGGGATGTTTTCAATTTAGTGCTTCATCTTGTTCATGCATGTGTATTGATTACTCCTTTAATATATCTTCATATTTTTTTAAACAATAATTTTACTATATACTTGCTTCACCCCGTCAAATTATGTGTCCATACTTCCTTTTCAAGAACTTAAATTTGATAATAAAATATACTTGCTTCACCTTGTCAAATTATGTTCCCATACTTTCTTTCCAAGAACTTAAATTTGATAATAAAATATACCATATTATGGACAGACCAGAGCAAATCATTATCCTTCGCCTTAAAACAGGGCACAATCGACTTCACAGCCACATGTACAACAAATTTAAGATTGGCCAATCAGCCATGTCTACCTTTGGACTGGCACCTGAGACAACAGATCACATCCTCCAAGAGTGTCCCAGATTCAACGCTTCCAGGCAAAACTTCTGGCCAAAAGAAACCCTTGTGGAAGTCAAACTTTACGGGCCGCTTAGTGAATTACAAAAGACAGTGAAATTCATACTAGAGACAGCATTGCAGATATAGATAATTTATTTCATGCGAATGAAAGAAGAAGAAGATAATAAGATATACTAGCTACACCCTGTAAAATTATGTGCCCACACTTTCTTTTCAAGAACTTGAATTTGATAATAAAATTTACTTGCTTCACCTTGTCAAATTGTGTGCCCAAGAACTTAAGTTTGATCTTTCTTCTTCTTGTTCCCTGGCTGTAAACTTTGGCAGAAAGTTCTGGTTGCTCGTCCACTTCTGGACTCTAGTCCTGTTGCAGAACCTGAGCGCTCAGTGCACATCCATTTTACAGATCCTGACTCTTGTCAGTTCATTGACTCTCAGGCAGATGCATTCCGACTTTGCAGGAAGCTCCCAATTAGTCGACTCTTATGTTGAGGAGAAAGTGGGCCTATTCTTGTTTTTCCCACAATGGGGCCGTAGAACCCACACAGGGAACATAAGTTTGATAATAAAATGTTCTTGCTTCATCTTGTCAGATTATTTTCCGACACTTCCTTTCCAAGAACTAAAATTTGATAATAAAATATACTTGCTTCACTTTGCCCAATTACGTGTCCACACATCTTTCACATGAACTTAAATTTAGCAATAAAATGATTTGGAGAAAATATCCCTAAATTGAAATCTAGTGACTAAAAAATGCCACTAATAAGATTTTAATCCGATAAAAGCAAATTCTGTACATTCCTTTTGGCCATATAAAATAGTTATATTATAGCACCCTTTGGTTATGTACAGAGTACAGTTCAGCTTGGGTGGGTAATGACACCATGGTTCACGTAATTTGCTGTTATGTGATAACTATGATGATCATGTTGCTGGACAACTGTGACAAATATGTATTGAACAAACTGTTATATAATCAGTGTTGTATTGTTGCCTCTTCAAGACTGATAATCATGTTGCTGGACAACTGTCACAAATATGTATTGAACAAACTGTTATATAATCAGTGTTGTATTGTTGCCTCTTCAAGACTGTGATGATCATATTGTTAGACAACTGCCACAAATATGTACTGAACAAGAAGTCCAATCTCACACACTGGCACCCGGTTCTTGGCTGGTTTTCACAGAAGACAGATCAGAGGTGATTTATTTTGCAGATCATTCTTTTCTTGTGCAGTTAAATATTGTTTACTTTTGAAATTTAATTACAGAGAGATTCTGGAGAGACTTGAAAGAGATGATGTTAAAAGAAACTACAAAATAAATGTGACAGAATATTTTGCAGTTATTGCTTGGAATATTTCAGTGTATCTTATCTATACACTTTATCTTATCTGTATACTATAGAATTTACATCATATTTCAGTGTATCTTATATATATCTCTGAACCGAATTTTCGCTTCGTATTCGCTTCAGGGCCGAATAGTAGACCGACCTATTGGCTATTCGGTATTCGGCCAATAGTTGCGGTCGGGCCGAATACAAATAGTAGTTACCTTACACCCGCTTCTGCATACACAGCCTTAATGCTGACAACATAGAACAATTAGTTTTGTTGAAAGCTAATGCAGCTTTCGTGCATTAACTAAGCTGTCAGTGACAATTTCCTAGTTTAGTTACTTGTTATAATACTTAGGATTCTTTCATTCCTAGTTATTAGTTACCACATACTGACTGAAGAAATACAATCTAGAAATAAAGTATACTATGCCCTTCAACATCTGCTAAAGTCAAAGTGTCTGTCTTGCAACACCAAGATCAAAATATATAAAACGTTGATAAGACCAGTCGTTTTATATGGCTCTGAAACTTGAAGCAGAAATAAAAAAGATGAGGCCTTATTTCAGGTTTCCAAAAACAGTCTTACGACAAATCTTTGGACCCATCAAAGATGCTAACAGCAGGGAATGGAGAGTGAGAAGCAACAACATAACACATAATCTGTTTAAATCACCATTGATCACTGGCATCATGAGAGCTAACAGACTAAAATGGTTGGGGCATATTGAAAGAATGTCAGATGACAGAGAAGTAAAAACTGTATACACCTGAGAGAGGAATGGGCGTAGACCACGAGGCAGACAAAAAAGGAGTTCCAGAGATAATGTCCAGCCAGACCTGCAAACAACTGGTGTCACAAATTGTGAAGATATGGTCAGCCAGAGAGATGAATGGAGACGAGTGATATCTGCAGCAGTAAACCTCAAGGGCTCAGAATGCTAAAGAAGAAGATAACTATTCTGTTCTACTTTATATGAAGTAAAAGTTCAACGTACATTTGACATGAATTTTTTTTTAAAAATATATATTTTAAACAGTATACACTATTTGTATTCGGCCGAATAGTTGTTCCCGCTATTCGTATTCGGCCGAATAGTGAAAATCACTATTCAGTACAGCCCTAATCTTATCTATATACTATATCTTATCTATTCTCTCACCATACCTATTCAATATATACGCAGAAAATATAATGAGAAATGTCAAAAATGACCAGAATTGTGACAGTTATGATCCGCTCAAAATTGGTGGCAACCCTATTCCGGAACTCAGCTACGCAGATGACACAGTCCTCATTTCGAACAGCGTTAAGGGAATAGAAAATTTAATATTGTCCGTCCAAAAGCACAGTGAAGATCAAAATCTGTTCTTGAATTTAAAGAAAACGAAAATAATGTCCACAGATAAAACTGGCTGTCACCCAAAAATAACAATAAATGATGAAGAAATTGAAAATGTCACAAACTTTGAATATCTAGGCTCTATAATAAACAACAATGGAGACTGTTCGACAGAAATTAAAAGGAGGATGGCCATAGCAATGCAAAGATTGAACAGCCTTAAAAGTCTATGGTTAAGCACCAGCAAGGAGATCAAAATTAGAATTTTGAGAGCATGCATCTTCCCTGTGGCTACATACGGATGTGAGTCGTGGACTATCTCTCAGTCCTTAAGAAAGAGAATAGGGGCTTTTGAGCTGAAATGCTATAGAAAGATTCTCAGAATATCTTGGACAAAGAAGATGAGAAATATTGACATCTTAAAAGATCTGAACATCAAGGAAGATTGGCTAATAAATAGCATCCTGTCTCGAAAGCTGAAATATTTTGGTCATATCAAGCGCCACGACGGATTGGAAAAAATTATAGCAGAAGGCATGGTACCAGGAAGGAGGGGCAGAGGCCGGCCGACATGAAGATGGGCACAGGATATAAGTGACTCCTTGAGTGTGAAAGTTCATGAGGCGGGAGAACTGGCAAGAGACCGAGTTTCTTACAGGCAGACTGTGATGAGAGCGACGTTGTGCAAAGGACCTGCTACATGATGATGATGATATCTTATCTGTGTACTATAGAATTTACATCATATTTTAGTGTATCTTATCAGATGTATGCTGTAGAATTTACATCATTTTTCAGTACATTTTTTCAGTTGTATACTATAGAATTTACAACATATTTCATTGTCTCAAAGCAGATGTATACTATAGAATTTACATCATATTTTAGTATATCTTATCAGATATATATAGAATTTACATTAATATATAATGATTGCCTTATTCTAGAGTCTTGGCAGTTAGCATTATCTTCTAGGCTCCACACACATGATTATTAAGAATTATATCTTCTCAGTTATTTATCCAACACAGAACATATTTTTTTAAAAAGATTTGTTGAAGCAGTTGTGGTAACAATGGACAGTCTAAAAAATTATTTCATCTTTGCTTTAAACAGGCATGAAAAAATTTAGTCTTCCAATGACGATGAAGATGAAGTGGAGATGGAGATGTCAGCAAATCACCACAAGAAGAAGATTTCGTGTTACTTCATCTGTGAAAAATTTTTTCTCCCCGTCTAGGTCTCCAGAAGTCAAATGTCCAATATTATCCATTGACAGGGCGTTTTCTCTGTTTCTGCCAGCCTCCATGATACAGTATCTCTTGTTGTCCAGGGCAGGATATTCTTTATTTCCTAGCAGCATCCTTGTGCTGGTGACCTTGATGTCCATTGTGGGACATATTCTGTATTTCTAACAGCCTACATGGTTTAGTGTCCTGTGTTGTCCATTGTGGGACATATTCTGTATTTCTAACAACCTCCATAGTTAAGTGTCCTATGTTGTCCATTGTGGGACATATTCTGTATTTCTAACAGCCTACATGGTTTAGTGTCCAGTATTGTCCATTGTGGGACATATTCTGTATTTCTAACAACCTCCATAGTTAAGTGTCCTATGTTGTCCATTGTGGGACATATTCTGTATTTCTAACAGCCTACATGGTTTAGTGTCCTGTGTTGTCCATTGTGGGACATATTCTGTATTTCTAACAGCCTACATGGTTTAGTGTCCTGTGTTGTCCATTGTGGGACATATTCTGTATTTCTAACAGCCTCCATGGTTTAGTGTCCTGTGTTGTCCATTGTGGGACATATTCTGTATTTCTTACAGCCTCCATGGTTTAGTGTCCTGTGTTGTCCATTGTGGGACATATTCTGTATTTCTAACAGCCTACATGGTTTAGTGTCCTGTGTTGTCCATTGTGGGACATATTCTGTATTTCTAACAGCCTACATGGTTTAGTGTCCAGTGTTGTCCATTGTGGGACATATTCTGTATTTCTAACAGCCTACATGGTTTAGTGTCCTGTGTTGTCCATTGTGGGACATATTCTGTATTTCTAACAACCTCCATAGTTAAGTGTCCTGTGTTGTCCATTGTGGGACATATTCTATATTTCTAACAGCCTCCATAGTTAAGTTTCCTATGTTGTCCATTGTGGGACATATTCTGTATTTCTTACAGCCTCCATGGTTTAGTATCCTATGTTGTCCATTGTGGGACATATTCTATATTTCTAACAGCCTCCATAGTTAAGTTTCCTATGTTGTCCATTGTGGGACATATTCTGTATTTTTTACAGCCTCCATGGTTTAGTACCCTATGTTGTCCATTGTGGGACATATTCTGTATTTCTTACAGCCTCCATGGTTTAGTATCCTATGTTGCCCATTATGGGACATATTCTGTATTTCTTACAGCCTCCATGGTTTAGTATCCTATGTTGTCCATTGTGGGACATATTCTGTATTTCTAACAGCCTCCATGGTTTAGTATCCTATGTTGTCTATTATGGGACATACTCTTTGTGTCCCTCTTTATCCCTGTGTCAGTGTCCTATATTATATTGGCCACTGAGAGAGCATATTTAAAAAAAAAAAAAACCTTTAACACCTCCCTGATTTTGTGACCAATATTTTCCACAGATCGTACATTTCCTCTGTTTCTAACAGTACCCCTCTCTTGGTGTTCTATGTTGTTCATTAAAAGTCACATTCATTTCTTGAATCCATGTGTCTTTGTCTTACATTGTTCACTGATAGGATGTATTCTCCTTTTCTAATTGCCTCCATGATTTAGTGTATTATGTTGTCCACTGATACAACACATTTTTTATTTCTAACAGTAAATCCTGGGTTGGTATCCTAGGGTATCCACAGGACATATTCTGTATTTCTAAAGGCTTTCACGAATCAGTATAAATCAAATGTTGTCTATTTATGGGGCATAGTCTTTATCTGAACAGTCTTGGTAAATCAGTGTCCTACAAATATTTTTTAGTTCCAACAGTATCCATGTCAGTGTCCTATTTTGTTCATTGACAGAACATATTCTGTACTTCTCACAGCCTCCATGAGTCAATGTCCTATGTTGTCCGTCAGCTGCAACTTCTGTGGAGTGACAAGATGATCCGTCTGATGTTTGCTGCATTGCTGGAGTACACAGAGGCTAGTCCAGTGGTGGACACAGAAACAGTACCCTCAAAGAATAAAAGTTTGTATTACCTATCAGCACTGTATTCATCATCACTACCCAGTACCTGTTTGAGTAAAATGAATGACTGTCGCCCCTTTGGTCCAAATTTCCAAGCACTATTTATCACATACAATAATCTTTACCAAAATGTACCACTGTTGAATGCCCTGAAACCCACACACACCGGACTGCAGGTTATATTGTAACCATTTTGTACTGCCCCAGTATAACTGTGCTATATGGCTATATGTTTAAATGGGGTTTATGAGATTGTAACTCTTTGATTCTCATGCTGTTGTGGTCTGACAGATGAGTGCTTGGAAGGGCCGTATGTAAGACGGGTCTGGGTGCCGTTTTTGTTTTTCTTTAGAATGTTCGTTTGTTTGTTCATTCATCCTTGAAATGTTAATTCTAAAGATAGTAATCATAGAGGGGGAAAATGTCTAATATTTTCTTCTGCTTTTTTTGTGCCTTATTTTTCAATTAGTTTACCATTTGTTACATTGTATTCCTATTTCAATGTTTGCATAGTCTATAAGGTAAGCAGAGGGCAGTAACTCTGTAACCTATTATGTACTTTTTCAATAGACAGCATCCCACTCTGTTTCATTTGATGTTCTGTTCTAGTTCTTAAGGTTGATGAATTTTAAAATAAATTTATCTTTATCTTTATCTGGACTTTGGTCTTGTTCTAGGTCTTTGACTATTGCATGTACGACCATTTTTCACATCTGGCTGAATGTGCAGTCTGGGGTTCCACACCTCTCATTTATTTGATCTAAGTAGCATCTTCCACTCTAAGCAGCATCTTCCAATCTAAGTGGCGTCTTCTAATTTAAGTAGAGTCTTCCAATCTAAGTAGCATCTTCCACTCTAAGTAGCAGCTTCCACTCTAAGTACCATCTTCCACTCTAAGCAGAATCTTCCAATCTAAGTGGCGTCTTCTAATTTAAGTAGCGTCTACCAATCTAAGTAGCATCTTCCACTCTAAGTAGCAGCTTCCACTCTAAGTACCATCTTCCACTCTAAGCAGAATCTTCCAATCTAAATGGCGTCTTCTAATTTAAGTAGCGTCTACCAATCTAAGTAGCATCTTCCACTCAAAGCAGAATCTTCCAATCTTAAGTGGCGTCTTCTAATTTAAGTAGCATCTACCAATCTAAGTAGCATCTTCCACTCTAAGTAGCATCTTCCACTCTAAGCAGAATCTTCCAATCTAAGTGGCGTCTTCTAATTTAATTAGCTTCTACCAATCTAAGTAGCATCTTCCAGTCTAAGTAGCGTCTTCCAATATCCTCATGTAATATTTTTCCTCACATTTATTCCATGACAACACATGTGTAGTAAACCTTTCTGGGAGCCATGAAGGCCTAGTGACTAGATGCTTCTCTGCAGACCAGTGGTCTTTGATTCGAATCTGTATCCAAGAAGATTTGTAAAACAGTTGACCTTGACTTCAAGTACGACCCGGCTTAAATAGGAACCAGGTAATGTCCTGGTAAGTTTAGTATAAAATATGGATCTAGCATCATATGTCTGATGTGCTACTGGCATAAAAAGGATCCTTTTCTTTATTTATTTGTCATTTTAAAAACTAAACCAACCCCCCCCCCCCTTCCCCCTCCCCAGCTATCTGCACTTTTAATCTTTTTCTTTTGTTTCTCCCCGCTAATGGTTTTCAGATGAAAAGGCCACATCTTTATCATCAGGTGTCTTGCCGACTGGCGTGGGCGATCATGCCTTTCCACAATCTGCAAACTCCTGCAGCATGTATCAGTTCTTGTGCTGACACACCTCCGTGCCATTCAACAAGACTGTTGAGAATCTTCTCTGGTTGTCTTCCTCTATCCCTCCACATGTCTTTCCAGTGGTCACAACATGTTCCATTTTTCCCTCTTCTCATAACATGGCCTAAAAATGATGACTTTCTCCTTCTGATATCTGTGATAAGTTGTCTTTGGGCTCTGGCCTCTTTCAAAACCTCTTGGTTGCTCTTTTTGGCTGTCCAAGGTATTTTAGGCATTCTTCTGTAAAACCACATCTCTGAGGCCTCAAGAAATTGTTTGGCCTGCCTGCCTACCGATTGTACAGGACTCAACAGCCATATGTTAACACTGGATGTATGAAGCAAGCAAGAATTCTTTTTCTAGCCACAGGCCTCTATGAAGTCTGTGGTGGGACACATGACTTTCACTGTTCCAGGCAGCTTGGTTTCTATTGGAATGTCAACCAGCCAAACCTGGGATCTCTCTGCTGCATGTAGATAGGTCTGTAGCACATGTTCAGTATTATTTCAGTGCTTACTTATATTTAATGTTTTGCCCATCAGATATATTCAAAAAGGCCCTAGGAAAAGCAACAGCCAACAAAATGATGTCGTCACAGAAAATAAAACTGGATAGCGATATAGCATTTAGTACTTGCTTGCCCTGCTCACTCTACCAGCACGCAATCAACACTCTAACACAACTGAAGATGGATATTTTAGGAGGTGAGTTACAGTCGGTACATTACGAGCTTCTTCTCTGTAGATAAAACATTATTGATGTATAATATTTTTTATTAATGTTAAAATAAAATAAAAATTGCATAGGAATAACATGTAAAACTTTTTTATTTATATGTTTTGATAGTTTTGTTGGCGTCTGTGGCTTGGGTGTTGCAAACACACTTTGTAATGCCAGGGTGCCAGGTTTGATCCCAGCTGCGGACAGTTTGTCTTGCATTGGTTTCGACAGTGGTACAGAGAGCTGACCGTTCAGTAGCAGTGGCAAACTACTAAACACCAAAATTGCCTAGAAAAACCACAACAGCAAAAAAAAAAAAAAAAAAAAAAAATGCTGGGGTTGGTTCTGCAACGTCCTGTAAAGGACTAACTTTGACAGTTTTATGATGGGAAAAAGAAGACAGGACTCCATTATCCCCCCTCTTCTGTTCCCTTTATTATTTATTATTCAGCAGTCGCCCACTATGGACTACAGGCTACTTACTTCGCAACCGTCGGTTGCCCCCAAACAAACAGTTGATATGATTTATGGGATTTGCTACTTTTGAATTCTCATCCAAATACCTTGAGTCACTGGGTGTTAATCTTCAGTGTGCAGTCTTAGAGGGGTGGAAACCAAGAGATTTTCTACATAAGGTATCCTTATAAAGTAAAGGCATATAGGGCTAGACCTATATTTTATAGACCAATTGGCACAATGGGAGTCACCGTGGTGTAGCGGCTAGGCGCTCATGTGCGGATCGGAAGGTCGTGAGTTCGCTCCCAGGTGGAGCCGGACTTTTTTAAAAATTGACTGACTCCCAGGTCGACCCAGCCTTGAATGGGTACCTGGTGCAGTCCTGGGAAGTAAAGGTGGCCGGCGTGATGCTGACGACATCACCCATCTTGTGCTGATTGGTCTATGAAAATATAGGTCTAACCCTATATGCCCTATACACCTAAAGGAGTGGAAAAGGGACCTTTACTTTACTTTTAATTGGCACAAGATGAGTGATGTGGTCAGCATCACGCCGGCCACCTTTACTTTCCGTGACTGCACCTGGTATCCACTGAAGGCTGGGTCTACCTGGGAGCCAATGTCATTTTGGAAAAAAGTCTGGCTCCGCCAGAGAGCAAACCCACGACCTTTTGATCCGCAGGCAAGCGTCTAGCCACAGCGACTCTCAGGGTATCCTAACTTGCACAGAACTGCAGATTGTAGTTTTTGTAAATTTTAGAGGTGATAAAACCTTCAGACAACAGCCTATTAAAGAAAGGGGGGGGGGGGAGAGAAATTTTTTTATCTCCTTTACCCATTTAGGACTGACTGCAAGGTACACCATAGTATTTTGTGTAGTCATTAAGGTACCATAATAGTAACTTCCTTCAGTTGCAAACAACACAACATGTGTACTTCATATTGCTCATGTGCAGCAGTCAACACGTTTTGTATATTTGTGCATCTTCAAGTTCGGTCAGGCAAACTAAATCTATCCAACACATAAGTCACCCACAAGGTCCCTTGTTTTTGGACCCTGTGGATGTAGTACACCCATGATTGTTGTCATCTTTATTGCTTCAGTCAGGCATCAGCTGTGACATTTTTCAACTAAAAAGGTTGGGGAGGGGGGGGGGTTTCTGGGTTTGGCCTGTTGGAATGCCATCCAGGATGTTAGTTAGTTAGTTGGTTTTTCTTCTTGAGCCTAGGGCAGCGCATAGGGTGGAGGTGATAACTCTCCATGTCTGGCGGTTTGTTGGCATCTGTTTTAGGTCTCATATGTTCATTAGGCCCATGGTTGAGCCTTGATTGATGATGGTTCTAAACAGGGTCTCTCTTGGTCTTCCTCGTTTTCTTTTCCCTTCTGGTGACCACATGATCGCATCCAGGATGTTAAAAGTTGATAACCTAATTACCAGTTTGTGTCCTATATCAAGGTCTGGCCTACACTGATATCCTTTTGCCCATACTCTGGAGGTTTCTCTGTGATCTGGGACCTCATTGTGGGCTGAAGATTTTTATTGAGCTCCTGTCACAAACGCCCAATTCGGTCCGGCACCCAGTGTTCAGCCTACTGTCCTTGTTTTGTGAAACAGCATCTCATATGATTACGTAAGTAAATAATGTTTGATCCATGAAATAAATATTTTTTTTTTCTACATTTGGTCAGAAGCATAAAAAAGAAAAGAAGTTGTAGTGCAGGACTGGTATTCTTGCTTGCCTGTCAGATGTTTAAATCCATCTTGAAGTGAATTTTTAAAATTGAAGTTGGAAGTTGTGGTAGGAAAGGGGGGGTGCAAATCTACACTAAAATTGATTTTTTATTTTATTTTATTCACCTTGGCACTCGGGTTGACCACCTGAAATGGGTACCAAATAATATCCTGGGAAGTAAAGGCTGTCCACACTATGTTGACCATATCACCCATTGAAAACTGACTAGCCAAGTAACATGAGACTGATGGTGAAACAAAAAATACTGGCTGGCTTGATCTAAAGCTCATGCTATGTAAGCAGTATTGAAAAAAAAAAGTTTGTTTACAAAATTAGTTTTTTTGCTTTGTTTTTTCATTTAAGAAGCAATTGATATTATAGATTCCTTCAAATTGTTCCACTACCTCACAGGGGACCATCAATGTAGAATGACAGACAGTTAGAGAATGGTGATGACAACATATGGGAATCCAGCCAATCTGGTCACAGGCTTAGTGTTGATTCCATTTATATTATGGGAAATTGCACATAAGATAACGAAGGCATTGTAGATTTTGTAGGTTAAATCTGAAACAAAACTGACATTTAGGATGTTTCTTGAAAGTACTGTACCTCATGCAGCCATGATATTTCTTGAAGGGAATAGTTATGAAAGTTAATCTGGTCTTTTTCTTCTTCTTCCTCCTCCTTCTTCCTCTCCTTCTACTTCTTCACCCTCAAAGGAATTGGTATGTTATCTTGCTTTTTCTTCATCAGCAAGGGAAGAGTTCTAATTCCAATGGCTCCAGCAGCTGTCTGATTGTGTATCCGTCTAGCTTTTCCTTTGTGTGTTGAGCGTCGGCCAGATCCCCTGGTTTCCTCGCAGTGACATTCTCTTCAGACTGTAAGGATCTATCTGTGCATCCGCACTATTCACTCACTCCCAAAGGGCCCTCACAACATTAGCATGTCATGCATCATTTCACCAACAAGTGGTGCAGAACCAGCCAGTCTGTCTGCCTGCTCCATTCCCAACACACCGGCAAGACTCAGAGAAAATATCCAAAGGATGCTAACTACCCAGGACCTCTAAAGTGATGCTTGCCACTCTGCATTTAGCATGCCTGTCTCCACCTTTCTCAGCATGCTCTGTGAGTCAGTTACAAAGGCGACATGTGTGTACAGCTGATTCTCAAGCCAGTGGAAGGCAGCAGTGACTGCCTCCACCTCCATTCTCAAACTAGTCGTTGTGATATCACATGCCAGGCTTTGTTGCACTAAGCGACGTCCATTCTCTTTTGCTGTGAACTCCCATGCAGTTCATTTGCCCCTCAATAAAGAGTCATCTGTTTAGATAATCACATCACTTGGGCAGGAATTATCATGAATCATTTGGTAAATTTGAATTATGTACAAAAACATGCTTTTTCTAAGTTTGCTTCTCCTTGTATTTAATAAATATTTGCAACACTTAATTTCTTCAGCACCTTAGATGAAATTGAAATGCTGGAGCAACAGAAAGTTTTTAAACTGGCAGACTATGTCAAAATGAGTGAATTCCTGAATTTGTTTGTCTTTAAAGTTATATGGGGTGAATTGATAAGTAAGTATGGGTGTTCATGCTGTTTCTAAATGTAAACTGTGCAATTTGGTGTGATTCTTTTCGTGTTGTTAATAGTTTGACCATCTTCTTAATTCTTATATTTTTTCAGTCTCCCAATGAAGTACAGATTTTCTATTGTCACCTCATGCCAAGTTCTCTGTAGGCTTGTTGATTAACATTTTTTATTTTGTAGCTATAATAGGAAGTACACACATCAGGAGAAGTAATTGATTCACCCACATTTTACGAACTACTCTTTGTTGACGACCAGTGCTTGTTCTACCCTGAAGAACATAGACTGCAAGACCACATTAACAGGGTAAACTCAGCATGTAGTAAATACAACATGAAGATCAATGTAAACAAAACCGAAACAATGCAAGAACCCCTGCCCCACTACACATACAGCTGAATGGTTCTGCCCTCAATCAAGTAAGGGAGTTTAAATATCTAGGAAGTATGATCACAGAAGATGGTAGAATTGACAGAGAAATCGAAACCAGATGTCAGAAAGCAAGTGCACTTAAATACCAATTGTCACCATCATTAAGACATCCAAGCATAACTATGAGTGCAAATTTTTTTTTAGATTAGCTGGGATTAAATGTGAGCTGTGGTAGTTTAATGGCTTGACACTGACCTGCCAGTCCAAAGATCTCGGGTTCAAATCCACAGTGCGGCAGATTTTTGTCAAAATTGGCATTGGCTCACAGGCAACCCAGCCTAAAAAAGGTACCAGATAATGACGTGGAAAGTAAATGTGGCCGGTGTAATGTTGACTGAATTACACCAGAGTGCAGATTGATCCATAAAAATATGAATCTACCATCATATATCTGAGGCACTACTGGCATTAAAAAGGACCTTTATGGTTGTTTTTTTTAACTTTCTAGCACATATTGCTTTCCAAAAATATTACTTCCACAAAAATTTTCCTGATGCAAATTTTTGACTGGGAGCCACAGTCAGTGACACAAATCTATGCCTCAGAGGGGATTTAAACACATGACTAGCAGACTGGCAAGCAAGCAAGCTAGTTGTGATTCCCAGGGACAGTTTTACTCTTTATTAACCTTATAACTTTCTAGATGAAGTTAAAGTCATGAAGATTGGACTTGGTGTATTCCATATAGCTCGGTCTCTTTCTACAGAACAGCCCATCTCTTGCCAAGAGCTGTGTGCAAAGCATGAACTCTTTAGCTTCAGCAGCAATCCAAAGACATTCCTGTGAAAATTGCAACTATAGACAGAGCAGTGCATGCGTGAGATAAGCCCCTGACCTTTGGTGTATGAGGCAAGTGGCTTGACCACTTCACCACAGAGACTCCCAAAATATTGCTTTTTTTTTGCAGGCTCAGGGAGAGTCAAACATTTTTATTTTCTGCTTACAAGGTAGATGCTTTAATGAGCTGTGCTGTGGAGCCCTACATTTCTGAAAAACAAAGGGTTAAAATTACAACTGTCTGGAATAGAAAGAATGCAATAAGTAATGATAGAATAACTTGAAGTAACAACTGTCAAGGTTAAACAGTAATAGAACAGATGAACTAACGAACAAACAAACTTTATTTTCAAAGGGTCACAAATTGGGCACACAGGCCCGCTTTAAATTCTGCTCTTCCAAACACTCATCTTTCATGCTGCAGTTATGTTGTATCAATAGGGCATGTTATGTTGATTTAACAATATACACACTGTCTGCATCTAAATACACAAAAACATGGCTAGTAAAATACACAATTTGAGATGGTTACGGTAAAAACAAGTTGAAATAATATGAGTTAGAATTCAAGAATACTCATTCCTAAATGTGTTGGAGTAAACAGTTACATTTGTTCATTGTTTGCACTGTTTGTAGGTGTTGAACAGGCACCCAGTTGTGATGTTTTCTCATCTGCCTTGACGCTGTTGATGATTTTGCATGAAAGAGACAGCAGACGGAGTTTCACAACTCCAAACCATTGGTTAATCAGGTACTGAGAAAGTTGTTTGTGACTAGTGTGGGAGTGATCTCTTATGTCTTTTAATGTGACCAAAATATTTCGCTTGTCTCTTTTTTATTTCACCTAGCAACTCTCTTTTCATTCTCAATTTCCTCAGTACCTCTGTATTTGATAGCTTTTGTTTCCATGTAACAATAAGTTTTCTAATTGCATTTCCTCTTTCTAGGATAAGGCTAGTATCCTCCCCAATGCATTTCTGTGCCCCAAGCTGTCAACACAGTGTGGGATGTCAGATTTGGTATATGCCCCCCCAACATTCGGTGAAGCAATGAATAGTAACACTGTAACAATATAGATACTCTAAACTTTCATCAAAGAATATTGAATGAACGAACAAAGTTGATTTCAAAGGGACACAAATTGGACATGCAGGCCCACCTTACATTTGGTTCTTCCAAACACTCATCTCTCACACAGCAGTTATGTGAGACCAGCTGTCTTATTTTGTAGAAAACAACTGTAAAATGCAACCAGTTGGCATAGTGTGTTGTGGTTTAGAGTTAGGCTGCAATATCTGTGCTCTCATTCAGACACATCAGATTTCAGCAGTTCTTTAATTAGTCATAATTTATGACATTCTTGTTAAGGATGAGGATGATTTTTAAGAAGCAGTGGTTCTCTTACAATTTTTCCCCCGAAAATGTAACCATGGAACCCATACAGGGAACTGAAAGGTCATGCCATGTGGAATAAAACCTGGTGCAGTGAAGTCATTCCTCTGGCCATACCTCTGGAACTTTACAATAGGTAACACTGTCTAACAAGATCAGAAATGATTATAGGCAACAATGTCTAACAGGATCAGAAATGATTATAGGCAACAATGTCTAACAGGATCAGAAATGATTATAGGCAACAGTGTCTAACAGGATCAGAAATGATTGTAGGTAACAGTGTCTAACAAGATCAGAAATGATTATAGGCAACAGTGTCTAACAGGATCAGAAATGATTGTAGGTAACAGTGTCTAACAAGATCAGAAATGATTATAGGCAACAATGTCTAACAGGATCAGAATTGATTAAAGGTAACATTGTCTAACTGGACTAGAATCGACATTATTAGGAGACAAGCTGGAATCGAACCAACGCTGAACTACATCAGGAGACAAAGATCAAACAGTTTGTGAACTGTGCTGAAATTCTCCTTGAGTTATCTATATGAGGGTAATGGAATACATGGAGTGAAATAAAGGTCACCTTTGACTGATTCGTTTTGATATGATTTTTTCAGGGAAGTGCGGCCAAGTCATTTTATGGCAGAGCTGGAAAAGGAGAAGAAAACAGCCATGTTTCTGATGCAGAGAGTTCCACACATCATTCCATTCAATGAAGTAAGTCAGCAGTGGTTTTTCAACCTCTGTCTAGTCGTGACTTCATTTTATAGAGACAGTGACCCGCGACCCAACACATTAAAACAAGGCTTTTTGTTAGTGTAAATGGAAACATTGAAATTAGACCCCGCCCACCCCGATTTTCGTTTAAAATTTTCATGGCTGGCCCTGCCTGGCGACCCCAAAGAAGACCTGTATGTTAGATGTCTGCATGTTAACCAAGAATTGCTATCACTCCACTCTGGACATTCCCATATGTGCTCCATCCCCCTCCTTAGTAGCCAACAAAGATATCAGCATAGCTACTGTTAATTAGCATTTAGCACAACTGCCAACTGACCATATGAAGCAGTGATATACAGACTAAGCAGGAATCAAAAGAGAGGCCAACCATGGACAAATGGAATAACTAATCTTTATGTAAGCAGCACATATCAAAATATGAGATTTTTTTAAATTTTTGTTTTAGACTTATCACATCTCAGAAATAGAGCTCATTAAGATCACTTTTGGCCTCTAAATCTATAACAATTCTGCATCATAAGATTTAGTGCTGTGCAATGTTATTGGTGCATGGGACATTTTGCAAACAGCATGGAATCGAATGACCCCACCCAGGTTTCTTGTCTACCTAGCCATTGTTTTCGACAAGCCTAGATCGACTCTCACTGTTACATTATAGTAATTTAGAACTATATAATAATAATTGGCATCACATATACTAACTTGGTCTACAGGAGACTGACCCCACTTATACATACTAAAATCACAACCTAGGAACTTGAACAGACACGAAGGACCCCGCTTAAACCAAAGGAGTAAAATGGAGGACCCAAACATGCAGTGGTCCACGACACACTAGTAGGTAAACAGTCACTTGTAGTGGCACAAATTCTATTAAAGCCATTACATTTGACACAGGTAAATTATCTTAGCCAATACATTTGGCAGAAAGAAACCAGGCCACAGTTATAACCAAAACTGTTTGCAGTAGTGTGAACATGGTGGACTTTTTTTCTGCCTTGAACATTAATGGATGACTGGCAACTTCCACAAATTATGTTTTATCTCAACATTGCAACTCACAAGAGGAACAAGATAAGATGTACTAATCTCCTCATCATGTAGAATATCACTCTCATCACGGTCTGCCTGAAAGAAACTCAGTCTCTCGCGAGCTCTCCCGCCTCATGTACTTTCATACTCTAGGAGTGACTTACATCATGTGCCCATCTTCGTGTTGGTTGACCCCTGCCCTGCATTCCTGGTACCATGCCTTCTGCTGTTATTTGTTCCAATCCGTCGTGGCGTTTGATATGACCAAAATTTTTCAGCTTCCGAGACAGGATACTGTTTATTAGCCAATCCTTCTTGATGTTCAGATTTTTCAAGATGTCAGTATTTCTTCTCTTCTTTGTCCAAGATATTCTGAGAATCTTTCTATAGCATTTCAACTCAAAAGCCACTATTCTCTGTGTACTAATGTAGTTAACTGATTTCTGACTTATTGAGAAAGTCTGCTTCTTCTTTGCCTTCACCGGCTGTCAACTCCAGCAGAAAGTTCTGGTTGTTCATCCACTTCTGGACTTTGGTCATGTTCCAGAATTTGAGTTTTGCATGCACATCTGTTTTGCAGATCTGACTTATTTATATTCAGACTGTTGGTTCCTCGCCTCTGAGGCACTCCAACTTCAAAGGAAAGATGTCTAGTTGGTCGACTTTTTGGCATGGTTTTTAGAGGGACTGTGAGTCTATCTCTCCCCCCCCCCCCATACTACAGGTGGATGACACTGGAACCCTCACTTGATGTTCAGAAAATGACATTATACCGTTATCCAATTTAGCTTACACCATTAGACTTACACAAAGCCATCCTATCTTTCACCATCTTGCACAGCTCACCCCATGTCCTCTTCATGCTATATATTTTTCTGTCTAATTTTCCTCTAAATTTGGAACACATATGCAGACAAACAACAGTATTTTTAAATACTTCAAAATTTTACTGTATTGTACTGGAGCAATGGCCATAAAATTTAACTTAAAGCTATTCTATTCTTTAATGTCCGATGAAGCTGAACCTGCATATTCATATTTGTCTCCGATTTGTCTCTAAATTGAAAATGCTCAAAACAAGCGAAAATTTACTGTATCCTTCAGAAATGAATATCATTCTGTCCTCAGCGGGTCATGATCTTTAGAAAGAATGTGATGAGGGAGAAGGAAGCTTTAGGCTTGACAGAGTCTGCATGTGCCTCGCCTCAGTCTACTCTCATCACTGTACACAGGAGCCGCATTGTTGAGGTAACGAACAAAGTTGTATGATGCTGTTAAATGCATTTGCTTTTGTATGCTGTTAAGTGCATTTGCTTTTGAATGCTGTTAAATGCATTTGCTTTTCTGTGTGAGGATTGGCTGGCTGAGTAGCTAGAGCAGTGCGGGAGATCTGGGTTTGATCCTCAAGGAAAAAAAAATTGTAACCTGTAATGTTTAAAGGGAACTAATTAGTCATGTGGTCTTAAACCCTTTGGCTCGCGACCCCTTTGCTGTAGACTTCTCTAAAAGTGGTAAATGCAGGCAGTAAAGATACTGTTCTTTGTTAAATTTGTGTTTAATAAGTAACTTTTATTGAATGGTTTTATTATGTGTACACAATACTCTGAAATTTCAACACGGAGAATATGAAAAAAATATTCTAGTTTCTAGTACTGGTAGTATATCGTGGGTTAAAGTGTCTGCTTTATAACTACCTTTTTTCTTTCTTTCTTTCTTTCTTTCTTTCTTTCTTTCTTTCTTTCTTTCTTTCTTTCTTTCCTTCTTTCTTTCTTTCTTTCTTTCTTTTTTTCTTTCTCTCTCTCTCTCTTTTCTTTCCCCTTACCTTTAAGTACAATTTTTAAAAACAAAAGCCCAATTGTGTTTGATATTTTTTGGCAGGATGGCTACAGGCAGCTGGCACAACTTCCTGGCAGAGCCCTCAAGGGTGTCATCAGAGTCAAGTTCATAAATGAAATGGTAATGGGCTGGTTTGTCTTTGCTGCAGCAGTTTTTATGTTAGTTGCCAACTGCTGTTCATTTGTTAGTGGGTCTCCGTGGTAAATTCGGTTAAATTTGGTTTGCATTCCAATGTTTCTAACTTGTCTGTATTAGACCTCTTTTTATCACCAGGGAATATAAGACCGGTTTCTCTCACCTGGATATATTAAACCAGTTTTTCTTGACTTCTCATAGCTGACATGGTTTTATCACCAGCATATAATACACCTGTTTCTCTCACCTGCTCGTACAATCAACCTGTTTTCTTGACTTCTCATAGTAGACATGGTTTTATCACCAGCATATAATACACCTGTTTCTCTCACCTGCTCGTACAATCGCACCTGTTTTCTTGACTTCTCATAGTAGACATGGTTTTATCACCAGCATATAATACACCTGTTTCTCTCACCTGCTCGTACAATCAACCTGTTTTCTTGACTTCTCATAGTAGACATGGTTTTATCACCAGCATATAATACACCTGTTTCTCTCACCTGCTCGTACAATCAACCTGTTTTCTTGACTTCTCATAGTAGACATGGTTTTATCACCAGCATATAATACACCTGTTTCTCTCACCTGCTTGTATTAAACATGTTTTTCTGGACTTCTCATAGTAGACTTGGTTTTATCACCAGCGAATAATGGGTTGGTTTCTCTTGCCTGCAGTATTAAATCTGATTTTTCTTACCCTCTCATAGTACACCTGTTTTTATCAGCTGCACATCTAAAACTTTTTTAAAACAATTTTGTGTTTAAAAACATGTACATATTAGACCCTGTTTTCCTTAAAATTATTTATTTTAGTGAATTCTGTCAGTTGCATATATTAGATATCTTTCTCTATCGCATATATTACTTTCCATTATCCCCATGTGCACGTGGTTTTGGGGCCCACTTTGGAACAAACAAGAATAGACTTACTGCCCCCAAATAGACTCACTGCCCCCCCCCCCTTCCCCCCCCCCCCCTCTTTAAGGAACTTGGAACTTATTGTAGAAATTAGGGGTGTTTCCTTCTAAGTCGGAGTGCATCTGAGTACAAATAAATTAGCTCCGTAAAATATATGTGCAGGCAAAACTGAAATTCTGGAATAAGACCAAAGTCTAGAAGTGGGCGAACACCCAGAACTTTCTGCCGGAGTTTATACCCAATGAACACGAAGAAGAATCAGATTTTTGATGACACAGAGCTCTCACTCAGGGGGAGACGACGAGATATAGCTCAGAATAGAAAAGCTCTACACACCTTTTGATTTTTTTCAAAATACGTAATTTTGCATGTGGCTAAATTCTTGAATTATAATTGCTTTTTTTAAAGAACTTAAACTGTTTGTGTGTTCTTCTCCCAAGGGTCTTGATGAAGCTGGCATTGATCAAGATGGTGTCTTTAAGGAGTTTCTGGAGGAAACTATCGCTAGAGTTTTTGATCCACATTTAAATTTGTTTAAAGTAAGTCATAGATTTTTGTCTATATGATGTCTTTAAGGAGACTTGCTAATTGCTAATTTTAGATCCACATTTAAATTTAACCCTTTCGCTATTACGCATTCTACGAGCCAGCGTTACCACTGAGCTAAGCTAGTTCTCCGCTGATCTTTTGCCTAATGCTGAATACTTGTATATTCCCCTAACGTAAAAGATATTTACCCAAGAGAAGTGGATGGTTGGCTCGAGTGTTGACAGGTCAGATGGACTGGCCACACCAAGAAGCATCACCTTTACAGAAAGGAAAGAATAGAAACTGGGTTTAATTGCTCAGCTTCAAAGAAAATGTATCCTCTACTAGTCAACTTTTTCTTTTGTCTCCGTCGCTACCAGATGTAGTAGAAACTCCACGGTGGAGGAAACACAACAATAGTTTTCTGATCGTCAGCAGGAACATTCTTTGAATGTTTCAACAGCTTTACATTCCTTGCAGGTGAGTATTGCAAGACAATTTTTTTCTTCTTGAAATTTCAGGTAATAAGTAAACATGTATATTGTTCCTAAGTATTAAGCGTACAGAAATTGTTTCACTGTATCATAATGAACTGTTATTCTTTAAGGTATCAAGGGAACTTAAATGATTGCACTAGCATTACAGAAAAATACTGATCTTCTTTCAGGGAACAGATTAACAAAAATCAGTTTACTAGTATTATGGTATATTGTCAAAGCTCATAGTCGAGAGGATGGACTTCTTTGCACCAGGCTTTATCCCACATAGCTCAGTCTTTCTCCGCAGAATGGCTAGTTGCTTGCCGAGAGCACCGTGCAGAGCACAAACTCCGTAGCTCCAGTGACGATCCCCATGGATCTCTGTAAAAATTGCACTCGTGAATTGAAGGGTTCAGCCTTGTGGTGAACCCACGCCTTCAGAACGCAAGACAAACGGCTTAACCACTTCGCCACAGTGACCCCTGATAGTATGTTGTTTTTCTTTAAGGTAGCAAGTGAACATAAATTATTGCACTAGCATAATTTAAAAAAAAAAACAGATCTTCTTTCAGGTAACAGTTAAACAGAAACTGTTACACAAGCATCGTAAGGTACTGTTTTTCTTTCAGGTAACAAGTGAACAGAAATTGTACCCATCCTCAACTTCACATATTCAAGAGAACCATCTGGCATTGTTCGAATTTGTGGGAAAGATGTTGGCAAAGGCAGTTTATGAAGTAAGTTGTTTTATATTATAAATATTTTTTGTAGCTGTTTATAAAATTGGCTGTATCATGATTTAAAATAGTTATTTTAGCAGTTAGTTTTGTGGTCTGATGTTATAACATTTAAACAGCATTAAAAGTCTATGGTTAAGCACCAGTAAGGAGATCAAAATTAGAATTCTTAGAGCATGCATCTTTCCTGTACAGTTGTGAGTCATGGACTATCTCCCAGTCCTTGAGAAAAAGAATAGGAGCTTTTGAACTAAAATGCTAAAGAAAGATTCTCAGAATATCTTGGATAAAGAAGAGGAGAAATACTGACATCTTGAAAGATCTGAACATCAAGGAAGATTGGCCAATAAACAGCATCCTTTCTTGGAAGCTAAAATATTTTGGTCATATCAAGCGCTACGACGGATTGGAAAAAATAATAGCAGAAGGCATGGTACCAGGAAGGAGGGGCAGGGGCCAACCAATACGAAGATGGGCACAGGATATAAGTGACTCCTTGAGTATGAAAGTACATGAGGCGGAAGAGCTGGCAAGAGGCCGAGTTTCTTTCAGGCAGCCCATGATAAGAGGGACGTTCTGCAAAGGACCTGCTACATGATGATGATGATGATGTTTTAACATAGTTATTGTAGTAGTCTGTGAAGTTGTCAAATGAACTTATGCCAAGTTGTCCTATTGAAGACATCAGTAACAGATGCTGCAGGGTTATTTTTTTCTAAGCACTGTGGCTTTGAAGTCAGCATAGCATCATAAAAATTGTTTCAGTTGTATATCATTCTTTACATGTTGTAGAACAAACCATGGAATTGTGGGGATTGTTTAATTGTCTTACTAATCAGTTTAATATTCAGTTAGTTTACCATTACTTTCTGATTTACCATCACCTTCTGAATGGTCAGTGCTCCATCCCCCTTGTCAAAATCAGCATGAAGCACATGAAGCGGTCTGCTGCCCAAATTGCCTGCCACTGAATCGAAGTGGGGATTTTAGAATTACATTGAAAAGTCACAAAACCTAGATCACAGACACTGAAAAATATTCACCAGATAATTATAAGAATTTTCAAAAAGGGATATACCAAGGAACTGAGGATGGGAACTGACCAGTCTGGCTTGTACGGCATGGCCAAGATTATGTAAAGGCCCAATATTTCACACTCCGGTACCAGCAATTTCTATGGGACTTCTTTCACCACATCGTAATGGTGTTCACTTATGTTCTGTTTTTAAAAGTTAGTTGTGTATTCTTTATAGAACGTTGCAGAGCCAACCTCAGCATTTTTTGGCTGTTGTGGTTTTTCTAGGCAAATTTTAGGTTCAGTAGTTTGCCACTGCTTAGTGAACTGTCAGCTCTCGGTACTACTGTCAAAAGCAACACAAGCCATCCTGCTGCCATTTCACCTGGAGCTGGGATCGAACCCGGCATTACAAAGCGGATTCGCAACGCCTAAGCCACAGATGCCGACGTTCTGTGTTTAATGCCTGTATTCACCATATTTAGGGTGGTATAAGAGTTTAGGGGGGGGGGGAGGGTGGGGGAGGAGGCGTTGTTGTGAGCCTGCAGATTTAAGGCCACATTGCAGTTGCCGTGAACTGTGTAGTTAAGGATTTGTTTTTTTGGGTAAGACCAAAAAAAAAAATACCTTCCTCCATTACTGAGGATTGAATACCGTCAAAGAACAGGATACTGCAGACTCAACTACCACATACATAAATTAAAGACTGTACTGTCCCCGCAGTGTGCATGTCAGGTGGAACCACAATCACCTGACCACATTCTGCAGGCCTGCCCACTATACTTACACAACTACAAAGAGAGACCTGGCCTCAATATTAAAGTGTGCAGAGTGAGCTATGGGGAACCATGGAAGACCTGCAATTGACTTGTAAGTTCATAGAGGCAGCCCACCGGATAGTTTGATCTGAGCAAACAAAACCGAGCATCAAGAAGTTGAAGAAGAAGAACACAGGTCTACCGCATGAGAGCTTAGTTACCTGGTTAGCTACTTCTCAACTGTGTTAAATAATTTTGGTGCTGTTCACATTTCCAGGCAGAGTATTTGAGTAACTTCCCTAGCTCTTTGGGTCGCTGGACCTCTCCTATATTGCAGGGGAGTCATGTTTTCTTATTGTGAACAGTTCAACTGTTGTCTCTTTTCTCGTCTTCTCACCGCTCACTTGCGTGATTATTCTTATGTTCTGCTACCTGCGTGACGGTTCGGGAGTATGGAAACAGCGATATTTTTCTATTCAATGCTCCTTGTAACTGATTTATATCTCCTGGCTGGAGGCCACCGCCAACAAACGTAGAAAACAAAAACATCCCAGTTTCGATAACCAATAATCGTTGTGCCTGCGGCACTGACTCTTGCAGTACTTCTTACTTGTACACAGGAGGCTGCAGTGCCTGAAATAGACTCACAACAACACATCCTCCCACAAACATTACATACGCCGAGCGAACGCCAAACCAAGCAATATCATAACACCCAGTCAACATAGAAGAGGTCCAGTGACATAAAGAGGCATGAATGGTAAGGGAAGTTACTCTAATCCTGGGTCTGGAAATGTGAACAGGACCATATTTTTTTTTCAACTTCCATCTCCACAACCGATATATAGATATTTTCATCCACTAGTCTTTATGTGATCAGGTCCCCAGTGTCTTCCGCCTCTTGTCCACTACCTGAATGTCACAAGAATGGTATTTTTCTACATTGCCCACCATGGAAATCCTAGCCTAGTGCACTGATGATTTAAAAACCTGTCACATTAACCTCCTTATTGTCCATCACCCCTTTGCAATTTTTTATTATTTTGAAGCCCCCACTCTGGCTCTCGCCAGGGGCTGCAATATAGCCCAGCCATAAATATGGTCTAATGGCTGAATGCGGTTTCCGGGACCTCCCCACGGGTGATCCTCGTCCACATAGTGGCATTTTGTGTCATCAAGTGTTTATCACTTGTGTGATGTCCTAGTTCTGTAAAATGTACTACTACTAATAAACCTCCAAGCCACAGAGCCACCAGTGTTTTAAGTATTATCATCATCAGCATCATCATCATCATCATCAAGTGCCTTGCCGACTGGAGTGAGCGATCCTGCCTCTCCACAATTTGTGATCTTCTACAGCATGTATCAGTTTATGTGCTGACACCCCTCCTTGCCATGACAAAAGTCTGTCAAGAATCTTCTCACATTGTCTTCCTCTGTCTGTTTTTCCACAAATCTTTACAGTGGTCACAATATGTTCCACTTTCCTTCATATAATGACTAAAAACTGATGACTGTCTCTTTCTGATGCTTGCGATAAACTGTCTTTGAGTCCTTTAAATATCATCATCATCATCGTGCTTTTACCGACTGGCATGGGCGATCATGCCTCTCTACAGTTTGCAAGTGCGTGTATCAGTTCATGTGTTGAGATTCCTTCATGCCATAACAAAAGACTGTCAAGAATCTTCTCATGCTGACTTCCTCTGTCTCTCTTTCCACAGATCTTTCCAGTGATCACAACATGTTCCATTTTCCCTCTTCTTATAACATGACTATAAAATGCTGTCTCTTTCTGATGTTTGTGATGAGCTGTCTTCGAGCTTTTGCCTCTTTCAAAACATCCGGGATTGCTCTTCTTAGCTGTCCAAGGAATTAAAAGGATTCTTCTGTAAAACCACATCTCCGATGCCTGAAGATATTGTTCGTCTTGTTTATTAATTGTCCAGGATTTACAGCTGTATGTTAAAACTGGCTCTATGCTGGCAGCATGCGAGAATTCTTTTCCTAACCTTCAGTGACATGGATTTATTGCATAAAATATTCCCTTAAATGTTGTAATTTTTAAGTTTTGTTTTCTATTTATCTTTAGGGGATTATTGTGGATGTGCCCTTTGCCCCAGTTTTTCCTGACACACATCCTGGGTCACCTCCAAAGTTCTACATACAGTTCCTTAGATGAGCTACCCTCTCTTGATATGGAATTGGCGAAATCGCTTTCATACATCAAGGTACATTTGTTTACTTTGTGTACAAGAAGACAGTGTTCACACAATGTGCCTACCAGTCCTGGTAGATTTAATATGTACAAATGTAATTTTAAACTTTGGTAACACTGTAGTGCAGAGGTTCTGGAAAGGCTATAAATGAAAAGAGAATTAATCAAAGAAATAAAAAAAAAAACATAGTTGAAATACTTTGGCCACTTTAAAAGACATAACACATTTTTTAAAAACCATACTTGAGAAAATGTTGAAGGCAAGAGAGCAAGAGTTAGGCAGCGATACACGCGGGGGGACAATATCAAGAGATGGACAAACAGCAGTCTGAGATAGAGTAAAATCAAGACTAGGGACAGAGAATGTTGGAGATCCCTTGCAGCCAGCCTTCACAGTGGAGACGGCACCTGATTGATTGATTGAACATTGTGAAAATACCATGGGAAAAAAATCAGTTACAACAAAAAGTTAAACCAGTCAGCTTTAAAAAAAAACAACCCCAAAACACAAACTCAAATGACAGAATGAACATTGCTGATAAAGATTTTCTAACTGCAGTGTTCACTTTGTCATTAATGATTTGTTTCATTGCCCAGCTGACTAGTTGTACTTCTAATTTTAATTGATTATTTATTAATATATACAAAAAGTGATATTCACACAATGTGCCTTTTTTCTGGTGAATTTAATATCTACAAGAAGGTCATATTCATGCAATGTCCTGGCGTAGAAGAAGATCATCTTTAGACATTGTGTTGTTGGTCCTGGTGAATTTAGTATGTACAAAATATATTCACACAATATGCTGCTTGTCCTGGGTGTATTGGTATGTACAAGAAAGTCACATTCATCTCCCCAGGACAACCCCAGAGCTTTTGCAATGTGTATACAAGCAAGATTGCAGAACTTGAATCACCAGGTGTTGGAAGAATATCGACATTTGCCGATGATGTCCTTGCATATATATTATAATGTGGCACTTACTTGACCATGTGACCCGGTCGCCTGGTAACCACTGTCGCCAATAGGGAAAAATGACATAGGAAATTCCCCCCCCCCTCCCTTCCGTAATTGCTATTTTTTTTTAGTAAATTTCATATACTTATTTCTGTATCGAGTCAGAAAAGTGGCTTTTACGGGGAAAAAAGTACCAACTGAAAGTGTTGGTTTTGTGGCCTCTTGAGGTGAAAAGGTCAAGCTCTGTGGCCCAGTAAAATCAGGGAACTGTGTCTGTTGGAGATGAAAGAACAGTTCTGGCCTTTACACAGTGTGATGGCTGCTTAGGTGAGTACACATGAAACCATCATTTAAAGTCTCTGAGAAAATCTCGTCTGAAAGGAATTAGTTTCATTTTTGTGCCTGGACCCTCTGGGGTAAGAAGGAGTGAACAAGCAGATTGGCTTGCTGGCAGGGCTATGGTTGGTACACGAAAAAGAATATGAATTGGGCCGACATTCTCACTGCTTTCAAGGAGGCAAGACGAGAAGATGATACAAGAGACGATGTTGAATCAGCATATTTTAAGTCTACAAGAACTTCAGGTCAAAAGAGGTGGCGCCGAACATGAACAGTGTACAGATAGCCAAAGAAGAATAGTTAGCCAACACAGAACTGGTGTTATCAGTCAGCACATGCTGAGGGATATACTGAAGATGAGATCTGAGCACTGATGGACTTGTCCAATGTGCAGTGAGGATAATCTTTCGACTAACTAAACCATCCGCCCTTGACAGAAAAAAAAAAAACACCTAGGACAGACAGTATAACTCTTATTGTTTAAAAATGTATTCTGCTGCATTGATTTTACTGATTAAAAAATACCAGTGATTCTTTTCTTCTCAGCATTATGATGGTGATGTCAGTGACCTTGAGCTGACCTTCTCGTGTGATGAAGACATATTAGGACGGATTGTCACGCACGAGCTGGTCCCTGGAGGGAAAGCCATCCAAGTCACCAATGAGAATAAGTAAGGAGATGTTGACTGGGGATACAGATATTTGTATAAACTGGAGAGCTGGTGTGAGACCTAGTTTCATTTAAGCTGGCTGTATTGAGAGGGCCATCTTAACATAGCCTGCTACATAATGATGATGGCATGTTGAGATTTGTATTATCTATTCATTTAAGGAAGAGCTGCTGTAGCTCAGTGATTAGGATGGTTACCTGCTGGACAGGTGGTCATAGGTTGAAACTCCAATCATGAGAGATTTGTATAATTGATCTGGGCTACCAAGCCACACCTTTCATCCTGTGAATGTTTAAACAAAAATTATTTTTTTAAGGAATTTCTGCAAGAAATTCTTAATTTGAAACATAAATATTACACAGGTGATTAATTTTTAAAAAACATGTATCTATATTAAACTTTTTTCTTCTAAAATATCTATAGATATATAAAGGGGTAATCAATAAACTTTAACAATGTGATGCTAGACTTACGTCAAGACCCTGTGACCTCTGTAATTGAGGCTTAAAGGAAAATGTGACATCTGCCTAACTTTCAAGAAGCCACTTGGGTCATAAGAAAACCCCAATAAATTCTATAGTTACTTACTGCATTCATATCCAGGCCTGTTAAACACCCCACAGGCTTTCATAGGACCAGTGGAATATGACTGCTTTTTTGACATTATGTCACTGCAGATGTGGTCGTATATCAGCATTTACAGGACTTTGTTAAATAGTTAATCGAAAAATTATCCTCATTGCACATCAGACAAGTCTATAAGCGCTCGGATCCCATCTTCAGTATATCCCTCAGCATGTGGCGACTGATAACTGGAAGTGACTACACTTGGTCTTTTCAAGGCGACAAGGTTAAATGGGTAGTCCCATAGCAGATTCTTTGGGAATGAAAGAGCAGATAGGTTGGCTGGATCCACTATCACTACCGACCGTCAGTCTATGGATTCATGCTGATATTATTAATGCCCTCTGAGAAATGGGAAGGGTCAAGGATTTTAGGGGCAGTGAATCCACATCACTCACCAGAATGATAGACTTGGGAGTTTAGATCAGCATAGCAAAAAATAAGACACACACTTCACATCATAGCACTTGTTAATCAACATAGAACTGGTACTATTTGCCACGCTGGGGTTCATACTGAGGGGAGGATCTGAACACCAGTACCATTTATTTTCACCTTTCCCCCCTTCTGTAATTTGATCAAATTTTAAAAATTATAAAGATAACTGATCAAATTTATTTTTAAATAGTTGCTATCCGTTCAGTTGTGTATATCTTGGCAGGTCTGTACATAGGGTGACCCAAAAGTATGGAGCAGTGATATTGATTTTTCATACCCAAAATATTTCCCCAAACAGGAAAAAACTTACAACAAAATCTGAAGAAAGAAGATACAAACAATAGACTGCCAGGCATATTTTGCGGTATCGTGTCAGGTGCCTAACAAAAATCAGTAATTTCTAACTTTCAGGCTGTCAGGTGGCAGCTTAGAAAAACTTCTGGTCACATACGGCAGATCACAGGCTAACTGTTTTAGTGATGGCAAGCTGCTTGCTTCTAGCCACGCTTGATATTCCTTTGTATCATCATCATCATGTAGCAGGTCCTTTGCAGAACCTCGCTCTCATCACAGTCTGCCTGAAACTCGGAAACTCGGTCTCTCGCCAGCTCTACCTCCTCATGTACTTTCATACTCAAGGAGTCACTTATATCCTGTGCCCATCTTTGTGTTGGTTGACCCCTGCCCCTCCTTCCTGGTACCATGCCTTCTGATATAATTTTGTCCAATCCATCGTGGCGCTTGATGTGACCAAAATATTTCAGTTTTCGAGACAGGATACTGTTTATTAGCCAATCTTTCTTGATGTTCAGATCTTTTAAGATGTCAATATTTCTCATCTTCTTTGTCCAAGATATTCTGAGAATATTTCTATAGCCTTTCAGTTCAAAGGCTGCTATTCTCTTTCTTAAGGACTGAGAGATAGTCCACGACTCACATCTGTATGTAGCCACAGGGAAGATGCATGCTCTCAAAATTCTAATTTTTATCTCCTTGCTGGTGCTTAACCATAGACTTTTAAGGTTGTTCAATCTTTGCATTGCTATTGCCTTCCTCTTTTTAATTTCTGTTGAACAGTCTCCATTGTTGTTTGTTATAGAGCCTAGAAATTCAAAGTTTGTGACATTTTTCAATTTCTTCTTCATTTATTGTTATTTTTAGGTGACAGCCAGTTTTATCTGTGGACATTATTTTCGTTTTCTTTAAATTTAAGAACAGATTTTGATCTTCACTGTGCTTTTGGACAGACAATATTAAATTTTCTTACGCTGTTCGAAAGGAGGACTTTATCATCTGCGTAGCGGAGTTCGGAAATAGGGTTGCAAAAAATTTTGAGCGGATCATAACTGTCACAAGTCTGGTCATTTTTGACATTTCTCATTATATTTTCTGCTTATATTTTGAATAGGTATGGTGAGAGAATGCACCCCTGCCTCACCCCCTTTTGCACCTCGAACCAATCAAATGTTTCACCAGCTGCTCTGATGGCTGCTTGTTGTTCATGATAAAGATTTTTTATTAAATGCACTAAATGCGCTGGAAACCCCATACTTTTCATAATAGTCCACAGTTTGTGGTGTTGGACACAATCAAATGCCTTGCTATAATCAATGGACTTAAATTAAATAGTCCTGTCACCCTGCTCCAAGTTGAGTGCATAGTGCGACAATGTGAGCTGAGATTTCATTTGGAATGCTTTTTTGACTGTGCCCAAAGTGGTGTCTGTTGTGAGCCGCAGATTCAGAAAATGGCCAGCAGCTACAGAATTGGTGGTGCCCTATGTGATATGGCATATGCAACTCCTGATTTATTATTGTAACTGCCGCTTCCATTGAAGATAAACTGCAATTCTAGTGGCGTACTGTTTGTGTTGACACTGCTAGCGGCTGCCTTATGCATTTAGTACATCTATGCTATCGGTTTTTCCAAGACGGATTTGTGTAACTTTTTTTTAAAAAACTTAGGATAGTGATGTGAATTCTGAGTGGTTTTTACCGACATTAACAGAGCAATTATGTGCTGACACATTTGCCACAAAGTTGTAATTGCAGTTAGTTCTGTCTGTACCAAAAAATTCACCATACTTACATTGGTTACACTGTAAATGATACACATTTCTGTTCTTTTCCTATCACGTTCTTTTATACTAACTGTCCTTATTTTCCAGTTATTACTATAACAGTTTATCCAAAGCTGTATTTTTCAACTCTATGAGACTATGAAGTATTGTCTGTTACCTAATCGACAGATTATCCTCATTGCACATCGGACATCATTAAACGTTCAGATCCTATCTTCAGCAAATCCCTGAATGAGTGGCGACTGATAGCACCAGTTCTGCGTTGGTTCACAATTCTTCTTTGGCTGCCTGTATGGTGTTTATGTTTGGCGACACCTCTTTTGACCTAAAGCCTTTTGATTGTTGCTGATTCAGCTTTGTCTCCTGAATCATCTTCTCGTCTTGCCCGGTCCATTGCTTTTCTTGTACCTACCATCTCCATGCCATCAATCTGCTCTTTCATTCCCTCTTACCCCAAGAGTCCCCTGCACAAAAATAAAACCAATTCCTAACACATGAGATTTCCTCAGCGACTCCAGCCAGAATCCTTCCTGTTTGTTTTCTTAAACATGCTCATGAAATCATTAAAAGCATGCATGGGAAAAAAGCTGTGTATCAGCCACATCATTGCTTTTTTTACCGCCATCACCTCCATAGTCAGACTACTTGTTGTCAAGGCAAAAACCCCACTTTCTTTTAGTTTTTCCTCGAACCAGAAACGTGAAAGCACGTGAACTTTGTACAAGTTGAACGACAGATCCCTCAGTTTAGATAACCACACCTCCGTCAGCAAAATTGTCAAGATTGTTGTTCTGCTATACACAAACTTTAACATAGACACTGTTGAATTCTACACTTGTTGACACCAAAAGAATTAACTGATCAACAGATGTGATGGAGGAAAATACAATTTGTCTAGGTCACAATTGTCTGTTATTCTTAACAGCTCTTTTCCCTGATTTTTTTCTTCTTGTTGCAGAATAAGGTACGTCCACCTGATGGCTCATTTCCGCATGTACCGACAGATCCGAGATCAGACATTGGCTTTTGTTAGAGGTTTTAAGTCTGTGGTGACACCTGAATGGTTGGTCATGTTTTCCGCCCCGGAGCTGCAGAAATTGATATCAGGAGACAGTGATTCCCTGGATATGGAAGATCTGAGGTATTATCTCATTCTCTTATGTTGTATAAACATTTGTTAAAACATTGTAATATTGTTATGTAAACAGAAAGATCATGTGATCAGTTGGGAGTTACCATGATAATCGCTTGACTGATTTTGATTTTATATTTATGGCGGATGGATATACACAACTTGACAGTGTGGGTTATGCATTTCAGCAAGAAAAGGATTCGTTTTGTGCTTCATCATATGTTAATTTAACTCGGCAGTAACGCACATGACTAGATACAGCCAAATGTGCAAGGCAGTAAACTGTGCAAAGTATTGTTTGTGTCCGCATTATTTAAAATTATAATGAAGCGTATTGGTCATATGGTGTTTGTGTGATCACTGAGGAGTGATTCGCCGAACAATTAAAAAACACCAGGTTCATGTGGGAGACCCCGGTTGGAAACCCCCAGTAAGGTTATGGGTTTTTCTGTCGGGGCAAAAATAAAATCTTAACCTGCACTGTCTATGTAGCCATAAATCCTCAACCCCACAGCATCCCAGCCCCCACCACACACATGCACAAACAACACACACACACACACACACACACACACACACACACAATCACACAAAAAGTAGTAACTACAGGCAGTAATGACAGTTTGGCGTCTTTAATGTTTTTTTTTTAATCGGTCAAAAGCACTTAGGTCAGCTTAGCCTTAAAAAATGGGTGCCAGGAAATATCTTGGGGAAACGGGGGCCAGCATGATGTTGACCAACTCACTCACTCTTCTTCTTCTTTGCGATCAGTTTTATATGCTCAAGTCAGACCATCAGGTCTAATTACTCCCTGAGCGGCAGTTGGTTTGTAAACATATGGGTTTAGCCCAGTAATTTTCAGCCTTTTTCAGGTTGTGCTGCCAGGAATAATATGGCTAGACCCGCACATTCCCCCATTGCTTTAAAAAATATGTGATTAAACAAAAGAAGGACAAAAAAAAAAAAAAAATACCAAGCACAGTCGGCAAGAACTTGGAGAAAAACATCCACATAGATCAAAGTATCAAATAACATAACAGTAATCAACAACAGGAAATTTATTGTAAATATCACGGTGATGGTCTGTTTTGTCTTGAAGATGTCTTGTTATTTTTGGTCTGATGTTGAACAATATACTCTCAAAATCAAGCTGGCAGCCCTGTACTGTTTTTATAACCATTAAAGCTGAAAATCCTGATTCACAAGGTGTGTGGAGGAAAATGGTAAAAGAACATTTATAACTAATTTGGCCACATGAGGGTACATTGCAAGATACTACACTCCCCCCACCCCCCACCCTGCAAAAAAAAATCCAAGCCTAAAAATGTGAAATAATCTTTATATAAATACTTTACCATGGTCACTACTAACAAAGAGTAAACTATTCGTAAGATAATTAACATACAATGAGTGTGCTGAGAAAGATAGAGAAGGGCTGGATCCGAAGACATTGGTTGGGGTTTCTAGAGCGGTCCAGTTTGACAGATACCAATTTCAAATTTGTGCCAGGACACGCAGGTGTGCAAGGAAATCGGCAGGCTGATTGGCTTGCAGGTAAAGCTACTCTGAAGGGCAGACGAGTAATGGATCACGCTGATATTCTGAATGCTCTACAAGAAGTAAGACGTTTGCGAGAACCAAGTGATGACTGTGAATCTGCAACCGTGACCAGACTGCTAAAACAAGATGTTAGGAGTGTGGCCAGAGAAGAGTGCTATGCAGGAAGCTAAAGAAGAGTAAGAAGTCAATACAGAACTGGTGTCCCCCCGTGTGGGATCCGGGGCCCCATTGTAAGGGAAAAAAAGAATACACCCACTGCCTCCCCAAAAGCATGTCGTAAGAGTCGACTAATTGGGGAGCTTCCTTTGAAGTCGGAGTGCATCTGCCGCAGAGGCAAGAACCCAACAGTCTGTATTCAAGAGAATGAGATCTGTAAAACTGATGCACACGCAACACTCAGGTTCTAGAGCAGGACTGCAGTTCAGTAGTGGACGAGCAACCAGAACTTTACGCCAGAATGTACAGCTGGTGAACACGAAGAAGAAGAAGAACTGGTGTCTTAAGCCGCTACACGCTGTTGGATTTACTAAGTAGGGGATCCGAGCACTTATGGACTGAATGGTTTGATGTGCACTAAGGACAATTTGTCGACTAACTAAATAAAAAATAAATGGCTGGTAAATCTTTACCATTTTAACAGAATAAATGCCATGAATTATTTTTTTGAATACTGACCGCAGTACTACTGTGATGAAGAAGCCAGGCTGTAATTGAACAGTTGTTACCACTAATCTTTGCAGATTGGAAAACGTTGTGTAAATCTTCAGCAATATAAATGCAGTGAATGTGATAAATTATCATTTTCATGCATATTTCAATATTGCTGTTTTTCCTTGTGGGATCCCATTTTGGGAGAGAAAACGTAGACCCACTGCCCTCCCAACAAGTAGGTCGTTAAAGTCGACTAATTAGGGTTTTTTCTTCAATGTTGGAGTGCTTTTGCCATGACAGGTAAAAAATAAAAGTTACATGTTAAAGTCGAGAGTATTGACTTCATTGCACCTGGTTTTATTCCATATGGCTCAGTCTCTCTCCGCAAAATGGCAAGATGTCTGTTGAAAGTGTAGCACAGAGCATGAACTCCGTAGCTCCAGCGACAGTCAAGGATCTCTGTAAAAATTGCACCTGAACTGAAGCAGTGAAATGAACCCACAACCTTCAGAATGCAAGGCAAACAGCTTGACCACTTTGCCACGCAGAAATGCAATAAAAATGTGTTTGCAGATCTAAAGTTCTGAAACAAGACCAAGTCCAGAAGTAGATGAACAACCAGAACTTTCCGTTGCAGTATATAGCCAGTAAACGCTGAGAGAAAAAAGAACAGTATTTAAGCCTTACTGTATCGTTAAACTTTGCTGTACGTAAACATGTCTAATGTGCTTTACTTTCATCTTTTCCAAAGACGTCACACTCAGTACTACGGGGGCTACCACAATAACCACAAGGTGATCAACTGGTTATGGGACATTGTGTCTCATGATCTTTCCACTGAAGAGAAGGGGCTTTTTCTCAAGGTGAGAATTTTGTTTGTCTTGTCTACCTGTGGGAGCCACGGTTGTGTGGCAGCTGGAAACACACCTGCGGATCTGAAGGCATGTGTTCAAATCTGAACAGAGCCAAACTTTTGTGGGGGGTTTTTTGGGAGTGTTTTGTGTGTGTTTGTTTTGGAAATGACATTGGCTCCCAGGTTGATCTATCCTTTAATGGGTACCAGGTAAAGTCCTGGGAGGTAAAGGGGGCCGGTATGACATTGACCACATCCGCATTGAGAACCGATTGGTCTGTAACATGTAAATCTGGCACTGTGAGCCCAGTGTGCCAGAGGACATGGAAGAAAGTGTCCTTTGTTGTGTGTAACAAGATAGTATATGCAATGAAGATGTCCTGTAAGAAAATTAACTCACAAAAATTACTGGTTACTTGCTTCCAATAAAGACAGTATATTCTGTGAGCTTCTTCAGCTCTCACCCTTCAAAGGGCAATTGGTGCATAATAATTTGCAGGTAAGCCTTGCAGTCCATCAGTCGCCACCCTTCAAGTCAAAGTCGAGTCCAGCATGATTGCCACCAAGTCTTAAGTCGCTGTCACCAAGTCCCAAGTCATTGCCACCAAGTCGCAGGGCGCTGGACAATACCCCAAGCAGAGTCGCAAGTTGTTAATTACGCGACTTACCTTAGACTTGAGTTCAGGTCACGACCTCTTGTACGGTGTGTGGATCTCCAACACAATTATTTTCTCATCCTAGTTGTGCAATCTCTCAGCCTAGTGTTTGTCTGTATATTGATGTTATCCTCCCACTTGTATCACTGCCTCTTACTGGCTTGCCTTCAGTGTTTATTTCCAGGATTGTTTAAATAAGAGGTTTCTGCCTTTTAGTGTGGCTGAAATATTTCACCTGTCTCTAGTTTTTTTTTTTTTTAGCAGCTCTCTTTTAGTACCTAGTCTCTCCACTGTATTGTGTCTCCATTGCTAAGTGAGACTACTCTCTCTGCGATGAGGGCCAGCTGTATTCTCTGTCATGTCTCAAATAGGCCTTTTGTGTACCACAACACTTTCTGTTTCACTTTACAAGCCATTGATCTATAAAGATTCCTCCCTTTTGTTCATCTCAGCCTTTGTTTAGTGGACATTCCCTGTTTGTAAGGATATTCAGTCAGTCAGTAGCATGTCCTTTGCAGAACTTTGCTCCCATAACAACCTTGCGGAGAACTTCCCAATCAGAAGCAAGATGTCTTGCATTTGATACACCTATCTGGAGATCATCCGCTACATCCTGCACCCATCTTTTTGGCCTTCCTCTCTTCAAAGGCATATACTCCTCCATTATTGTTTTCTCTAAACTTTCGTGACGTTTCAGGTGACCAAAATATTTCAGTTTTCTGTGTTTGATCGTCTTTAATAGCCAGCCTTCTTCAGTATTCAGAAGTATGGATGCATTTGTTCTTGTCTTTACCCATAATATTCTTAGAACCCATTTATACAATTTGTTTTTAAAGGCATTTATGCGCTGTTTAGCTTTCAACCATAACAGCAATGAAAGAAGGATATTACTTCTGCTAATCCCTATGTGTGTTTCGGGGCCCCAAAATAATAGACTCGCTGATTCTCTAACAAGCATATTGTAAAATGCAACTGATTAGAGGTTTTCCTCTGAATTCATCAGCGCATCTGTCTGAGAGGTGAGGAAACAACAGTCTGTGTATAAATAAGCCATATCTGTAAAAAGGAAGTGCATGCAAAATTCAAGTTCTGGAACAAGAGTAAAGTCCAGAAGTAGACCAACAGCCAGAACTTTCTACTGGAGTTTACAGCCATTGAACTCTAAGAAGAAGGAGAATAAGAACTTCTAAAAACCATGCACAACATCATGACACTATGATGAAATTCTTATGAGAACATAATCTTAAATATGGTGCATCTTTAAAATATCCTTACAGTGGAATGTTTATTGATAGGGGCCAACCAGCACAGGATATAAGCTACACCTTTGGTAGGAAAGTACACAAGGTGGGAGAGCTGGTAGAAGACCGAGTTTATTTCAGGCAGACCGTGATTAGTGATTAGAAAGGATTATCATCACAGCACTCCGGACAGATCCATAGGGGCTCCGATCTCCTCCTGAAAAGCTTCACAAATATAAAACAACCATTCTGTGTTGGTTAATGAAACGCCTTGTCCTCTTAGTGAAATGACAGTGATGAGTACTATGTTCTGCAAAGGAGATGCTACATGATGGTGACTGTGGCAATGTTATCAGAATATGCTTATACACTGCCCTCATCTTGTTGTAGCCCCTATTCTAATGTGTGTCCTTCTCTACAGTTTGTCACAAGCTGCTCCAAGCCTCCCCTGTTGGGGTTTGCCCACATGGAACCTCCCTTCTCCATCAGATGTGTGGAAGTCAGTGATGATCAGGTATAATTAGTGTCAATACTTATGGCATTTAAGTAAATAAAGAAACGGTTATAGGTTTAGATGACAGATCAACATTATGGCACAAGGATAGTAAACCCTAAGTGCTCACTTGTGCTTCTGACTCAAGCCTGAGTCCGAATAATCTCAGCACAGTGCACAAACTCTGGACATGTCCATAGGTGCTCATATTCTGCCTTTTACCATGTACGAGGGAGATTACAAAATTATCTGCACTTTTCATTGTACAATTTACATGATGCTAGGGTTTCACAGGGCACATAATCCCTCTCCTTATCAAGCCAGTTTGCCCAACCGTCAACAAGCTTACATATTCTTATCGAATAAAAGGTTTTCAGTTGATCTTTTACACTGCGTTTTGCACAAGTGAGCGTGTATTATGCAGTAACTTTTTTGGGACCCACAGTGCAGAGACTTTATAAAAGCTGAGCTTGTCGTGGATGATTTGATGGGCAGAATCATGACTAATGTTTAACACAGATGCTACTCTATCAATGGTAATTTGCCTACTCATCAGAACCACCCCTTGAACTTGCTGAATGTTGTCATCTATAGTTGAGATTGATAGCCATCCTGCTCCTTCTTCATGTGTTACACTTGTCCGACCAATTTTAAACTTCTCCATCCACAAAAACACAGTTGTACTTGACAGTGCACTTCCTCCATATTACGATATTAGTCTACGATAATTTTCGGAACCTTTGACACCATCCGACCAGAGGAATCTTATCCCTGCTCGTTGTTTCTCTTTGGAGCAAACTTCTAATGGAGCGGCCTTTATCTGTCTGCAACAGAAGGAAGAAAACGGCAGTATTAAGATGAAACTTTACCCCAACAGAATAACAGTAAGATAACCCAGGACAGAAGTCAGTGTGGACAATGTAAGAAGAGTTATGTCAAAAGTATAGATAATTTTTGACTTCGTCTCAAACATCTGCTTCCTGCGGTTAACATTGCCAATCTTGTTATGGTTAGAGAGACTTCTTGTACGGTCAATATGCCTCTCATGCCTGGCTGTGCTGATCTTTACTCCCAGTTCTCGCATTGTTAACAGAGATATAGACATGCTGCTCCTAAAATCCTCTGATCATCCCATCTTTGTAGTGCCAGCACAATCCCTAGGCCAGCTATCTGCAACAAAAGCAAAATCGGCATGTCTGTCAGCTGTTTCATTGCCCATTGCCAGCACAGGAAAGTAAAAGCCTCTTTTCACACTAGTTGTATATCTGCTATTCTCTCTTCTCTCCCCCCCCCCACCCAAAGAGGGCCCATGAACCCACACGGGGATAAATTTAGAGAGTTTAGTTAACCTTTTTTTTCATTCTGTAACTCCCACTTTATATATTAACATCTAATAGGAAGATTTTGACTGTTGTATTTTTGTGTGTGCTTCATCCCTAAAGGATACCGGTGACACCGTTGGCTCTTACTTAAAGGGCTTCTTCAATATCAAAAAGAAAGACGCTGGGGGAAGACTTCCAACTTCGTCCACCTGCTTCAATCTTCTAAAGTTGCCAAACTACTCCAAGAAATCCATTTTACGAGAGAAGCTTCGATACGCCATTCACTCACATTCAGGCTTTGAGATTTCATAACCTGAGAAGGATAACCCAGTTGTCTCTGTTTGGAATGTGATTTTCCTTAATATTTTCTGTTGAAAGACATTTTGAAGCTAAGAGGTATAAATATGAGTAGCTTTAATAGGCCACCTACTCATATTTCAGGCTTTGAGATTTCCTAACCTGACAAGGATAACTTTATTATCTCTGTTTGGAATGTTTATTAAATGAATTTTTGCTGAATGGGCTCATTTGAAGTACACATTAAAATGGTTTCCTGAAGCTAAGTGTACATGTACATACACCATCCATTCACATTCAGGAAATATGATTTCATAACCTGAATAAATAAAATTGAGATGTCTCTATTTTGAATATTGTTTGCTAAACTGGCATGAGAGCTGATGGTCTGTTGGTTCCTGATGGTGTCAGCATTCAGTCCAAGCCCAACCATGCAGTTAATGCATGTGCTTAAGGGCCTTCATGGGAAAATAATTAAGTTGTTTGATTTGCATTCTTCTGAAAATATTAGGTTTAGTTTAAGACTCTATCATTTGGTTTGGTTGACTAGTGCAGTTGCATCAGAGATTCCTGGAGGTTGTTCCTAGAGCTGCAGAGTTTTGTGCTTCTGGTAGTGGACCAATTGCTCTGCTGAGATCAACTCAGCCTAATGGGATGAAAACCAGTGCAATGAAGTCGGTCCTCTCACCTTAACCCCATTTATTCCTTGTTAATAAATCTTTCTTTGTAAATATATAAATGTATTATGTACATACAGTTGTTTAAGTATGTTTCTATGTATGTAATGTAGTTTTTATGCATATATGTATCTATGTGTATTTCAGTCAGTTCAGGTGCCATCTTCACAATGAAGTTTGGCTGCATGAATCTCCAACATGCTCGTCTCTTATCTTGGTTGCACACACTTCCAGACTGCTGGTCGTCCATCTTTTGATGTTGTCCTGCCACTTGCAACATTATCTACCTCTTGCTTTCTTGCTTCAACCTTTCCCTCCATGTGGTTTTTTAAAGACATATTATGCCTTTTCATTTGCAGTCTTTCCAGAACCTCTGTATTTGATTGCTTTTGTTTCCACAAAACACTGCCTATTTTTCTGTGTACACATTTTCAGAGACTCAATTCTATTTTCTAGTTGTCTATTCAAGTTGTAGGTAGAGTGGGCAGGTCTGCAGAATCTACTCAGGTGTTTGTGGTTCTGTTTGACAGGCACCTTGACTGTACAGTCTTTATTTTATGCATGTAGTAGTTAACAGAAAATTGTTGTATGTTGCTTTCTGTTGAGTTGTGGGTATTTACTATTGGTTTGTTCTCTCCACAGGTCCTTTTATTTTCCCTTGATGAGTGTTTTAATTTCTGGTAATGACAGTGAATGAGTGTATTTTTCCTTTGTTTCATTTTATGCAATTCTGTCTGCTAACTCATTTCCTGGTATGCCGCAGTGAGCTGGTATCCACTGGAAAAGGATTTGATTGTTTTCTGAGAGTCTGTTTAGATAGCAGGTAAATTCTCTCTCCACATTGTCTCCCTCTGAGTACAAGATTTGAGATAATTTTAGGACACACCTTTCATATGTTACTATATTTTTTTTGATGCTTTGCCAAGATTATAAGTAGTATCAGGTTGTCATGATTATGAATAGTATCAGGTTGCCATGATTATGAGTGGTATCAGGTTGCCATGATTATGAGTGGTATCAGGTTGCCATGATTATGAGTAGTATCAGGTTGCCATGATTATGAGTTGTATCAGATTGCCATGATTATGAGTGTTATCAGGTTGCCATGATTATGAGTTGTATCAGATTGCCATGATTATGAGTTGTATCAGATTGCCATCATTATGAATTGTATCAGGTTGCCATGATTATGAGTGTTATCAGGTTGCCATGATTATGAGTGTTTTTAAGTTGCCATGATAATGAATTGTATCAGGTTGACATGATTATGAGTGGTATCAGGTTGTCATGATTATGAATTGTATCAGGTTGTCATGGTTATGAGTGTTATCAGGTTGCCATGATAATGAATTGTATCAGGTTGACATGATTATGAATTGTATCAGGTTGCCATGATTATGAGTGGTATCAGGTTGCCTTGATTATGAGTCGTATCAGGTTGCTATGATTATGAATTGTATCAGGTTGTCATGGTTATGAGTGGTATCAGGTTGCCATGATTATGAGTGGTATAAATCTTTCAGCTCTGGGTTGTTGTTACTGCAACACTGTATCCCACTGATATCATACTTTAAGAGGACTGATCTTTGGTATATGTATGTATGTATATATACTTGTAAGTTGGTGTCTTTGGGTTAGGCATTGTAAACTTGCTTTATAATTGCGAGGTACCTGGTCCAGTTTTAGGTGGAGATGATTTGGAAGCAGACATTTTTGAGTAGATTTTGACAGTGGTAATGAGAGCTGACTGTTCAGAGAGCAGTAGCAAGCTACTAACGTTAGTAAAACCAAACAGCCAAATAAACATGCACAGAAAGCTGGGGTTGTTCTTCAACATCTTGTAAATGATACACAATCAACTTTATATATGTGCACTTTATTGCGTATAGTAGTGCTTTTTAAGGTTGTAGGTGGGGGTATATGTGTGTGTATCTTGAGCCTTAATTTTAGGTCCACATAGCTGTTGCAATCACCATGAACTGTGCAAGTTAGGATGTTTATATGTTTAGAAAAAAAAAACTGTTAATCACCTTTCAAAGGTTTCAGACCTGGCTCTTCCACATGAGGACCTTGCGTTCAAACCATTTAGCCAGCCACTCCTCATCTTTGAGATATGAGTTAAAATAATATAATTACAGGATAGATGAGTTAAAGCAACAGCTAAGTAGAATAGGTTAACATAACAGAGGAATGGGAGTGAAGAAATTCATAAACTTATACCATTCATAAATTAATCAATAAATTAATAGAGAGTTGACAAGGGCTAAATGAGTTGATGTGGTTCCATACATATGTTCTAACATGGCACATTTTTTTGGTTACTATTCTGTTAACAAATTTTGTTGAAGATAATGTAGTAAACTGTATATTAAAACTGTTTTATAATTGCTATGTTTTCACTGAAAAGATAATGTAGTAAACTGTAAATTAAAACTGTTTTGAAATTGCAATGTTTTCACTAAAAAGATGAAAAGATAATTTTGTAAACTGTATATTAAAACTGTTTTGTAATTGCAATGTTTTCTTTGACAGCTGTTTTAAGGACATTCCTGCTTGTTTTCACATGCATGCTTCTAGTCAGATGTGTTTCTTTCAGTAGCTTTCTGTATGTACAGTACTGATTCTGCTTAGATGGTTTGACCATACCCCTACCCCCAGAAGGCTAAATCTAGTCACTTCCTGTTGTGACACATCGCCATTTCTGCAGTGACCTGTTCGTGAAAAGTGAAGTTAGATGTCATTGGTTCTATGTTTATCTGCCTAGTGTTTACGAAGCCCAGAGGTGCAAAAATTAACTAACTTTAGAGGGCTTTCCTTGCAAATACAACAGCTTTGTTAAAGCTGGTTTGAATCAAATTTTTCCCGCAAGCCTCAGTGATAGACTCATGGCACGAGTCACACAATACATATTTTAGATCCTTTGGAATGTGTTCTGTTTAATGCTTCACTCTTTTCTTGTTTGCTGATTACCGATAACTCCTTTTAGACATTGTAAATTTTGAAACATTAACTAGACCAATGTAGATAAATAGATTTTTAAACAATTTATTAGTTACCTATATAAAATAGATGGGTTTTTCTTAAAAGATTCTTATTTCAGAAATGTTCACGACTTTGTGACCCATTTAGCATTTACAGGGCAAAAGGGTCAAATCATTTTAGTTATATGGTCATTATCAGGAAGTTAACCCTGTCAGCAAATGTTTCATGAAGCCGGCTGTGTCTGCCAAAAGGTTCAAATATCTCAGCTTTTCTGTTAGCAGGCACAAGGCAGTTATGTGATTTGCACAAATAGAAAGAAGAAGATATGGCAAATAAGCAGAAAAGGACCCTTTTTTTCCCCCAGAGGAACTCTGGACATGCAATGCTAGACACATATTTTTAAAGACCACATTGGGCGAGGTGGGTCAACATCATGCTACCCACTTTTACTTTGCAGGATATTACCTGGTGCCCGCTCAGTTTAATAAAAAACAAAAATAATAATCAGACAAAGCGGATTCCAGCCCAGCACCTTCAGGCAGGCATTTAAGGTACATAGTTTCAAAACTGAGTGGCAGATGATGAGATCCATGGTAATTGTTTCATTGACTACTTTAACTTTTCCAGCATATGAGCCTTTTTTTTTTTACAGCAGAACGTCTGGGAGGAAGGCGACTGGAAGGCCGAGAAAAGGACAGGGTGTCGCTGAAACATGTAAAAAGATTAACAAAAGTCACGACCCAAGAAGCCCTCGACAGATACAGCTGGATGAGTGAGACAACAAGTCACGACCCAAGAAGCCCACGACAGATACAGCTGGATGAGTGAGACAACAAGTCACGACCCAAGAAGCCTACGACAGATACAGCTGGATGAGTGAGACAACAAAAGTCACGACCCAAGAAGCCCACGACAGATACAGCTGGATGAGTGAGACAACAAAAGTCACGACCCAAGAAGCACACGACAGATACAGCTGGATGAGTGAGACAACAAGTCACGACCCAAGAAGCCCACGACAGATACAGCTGGATGAGTGAGACAACAAAAGAAGAAGAAGACTTTTCCAGAGATATTTCTAATAAAGTTAAAAAAAAAAAAAACGCAGAACTCTTTTCACACCAGTAGTGCTTTTGGCAAATGATGCCAAACTCATATTTTGTATAGGCCTACTGGCACTCTGTAGGTAATATAGGCAGCATCACAGCCTGACCTTTACTACCCAGGATATTTCCTGTTTTAGGCTCGAGCATAAAGCAATTAAAGACTTGCTGAGGCCGGATATGTTGGGCTGAAAGGTGTAGATATCTCAGCCTAGCTGTAAACCATCACCCTTTTACTGGTGAACACAGAATA